TCCAAATGTGGAGAGCGATAAACCGGAGGACCCGGAGAAAAGATCCACGCGACGCCGGGGAGAGAGAGTCATGCAAACTCCAAATATACAGGCGTCAGGGTCGGGATCGAACCCACGACCTCCTAAACATCGGCCAGTGAAAGTGACGTCGTCCCAGAGAATTCGGGCTACAGCCAGAAGTCACCGACGGCTCGAGCTGACAACAAATAGCGGACAACGCGTTCCCAGGACGGTGACCTGAGTTCAAGCTGGGGTCACGTGGCTCAAGCAATGTTTGGCCAATTCCACGTAAAGAGTGTTTGGCTTTCTGGAGTGGGGGGGGGGCCCGGATAAAACCCCACGAGGCGTAGGAGAAGACGGCACTGAAAGAGCTGCACGGAGAGACGGAAGAAATCCACTGCTGTGTTGGCCGCCTCCTGAACCACCTCGCAGCTCAAGAGGTGATATTCCCAGGGTCATCTTTTTTCCCCCCCAATGGCTGAGCAGGCTCAATCCCTGCGTCTGACGGGGCGATAAATGCGGACGATGATAATGACGATGGTGAAAGTGAGAGCAGTTGACAGTGGATACACGTTGCATTCAAACGCATTCGACCGCGTGAGACCACATTTGTCAAACAACGCAAAGCTAAGGCAAATATCCCCCCCGCCGCCGCCACGTGTGTGTGTGTGTGTGTAGTCACGCTCCGGCCGTTGTTGTTATTGTTGTTCTAATCGTTTGCTGTCCCTCTCTTTGAAAAATAAAAGGGGGGGCACTAGGGCATAATTTCAATCGTGTGGAACCCCCATCCTTGTTTTTTTCCCGGTAAAGCCACGTAGATAGAAAATAAAAATACCAAGAAATAAAGAAAGCATTTAATACAATGAAAATATAATAATAAATTGAAAATAATAAAAGCAAAAGACCCACGACGTTTCGATCGCAACACAAGCGGTCTTCATCGGACAGAACCCCGTTCTGTGCTTCTGCCCATTGTAACGATGTCATCGTCATAGAAGGCAGCCCCGCACACAACCCTCGTCACGGAGCTACGAGGGATCATCGCGCGAACTCACTCCGGTCGCAGCAGCAGCAGCCAGCGGCTTTTGGCTGCAAGCCGTTGACGCGCTTCTGCGGCCGTCTGGAACGCTCTTTCCTTCCCGATATTAGGAAGCCGCTGGGAGCCATGCACCTTTAAATCATCTCGATCGATAACGAACTTCTTTCGAACTGCTTTTTTAATGTGCAGTTCGTTGTCCTTCCACCCGCATCTCCGCGGTTCGAAAAAAGTTCAACATACATAACAAACATACAACCCTCAATCAGCAGTTTACTTGTGAGTTCACCTCTGGCCGACGCTTTACCCGGTCTGATTCTCCGAATCGCTTTCCGTAACCCCGTCGGTGGGTGGTATATCAGCCATCACAGGGGGTGGCTGCTTGCTCCAATATCTGAGCAGTATTAGCAGGGTTACCCCCCCCCCCCCCCCCCACGTTGCCCCATGATGCTATCTTAGCAGAGGGGGTCCCAACCCCGCCCCCCTGGACCTCACAGAAATGATCAACACTTCTGAAAATGTGTTCCTGGCGGCGGCGGTGGGGGTGTCAGAGATGGGGTCATCACTATCTCCCTTCAGGATGGTAATTACTTGTGGCGCCCCACAAGTTACTTTTTGATGGAATTAAAGAGTGGTTTGCGGGTCGCGCCCTACTAAGGTAGTTTCCATCTCCCCGGTGATCCCGCAGGCACCGACTCATCCTTGCAGTGCCGCACGGCTCTCAGAACCTCGGAGCGGGAGGCAGCGGTAGTCCTCCTCGTGGACACTAATGAGCGTCTGCTTTCTTTTAGCGAGCTGGGGACACCTTCTCCAAATATCATAGAGTTTCCAAGAAGGTCTGGGCTGTGTAACCAATGCGGACATAGCGGCTGCATGAGTCACAGTTATAAACCTCACCCATTTCCCCCCTTGGCATTAGAAAGGAAGAGGATGGGGGAAAGATGCCAACCCCAGCTGCAATAGATCACTGAGACCGGGCTATTTTGTTGTATTGAATAGGATCCTAAGTGGATGCCCACCGCTTAAAGTGAAATAATGGCAGGTGCATATTGAAGATGCCAATTCGATGACCAATGGAGAGATCAGCTCAGCTCCACGGTGGGTCTCAGTATCAAGGACACGGGCCCGCATTCGCTGGTGCTGTCACTCGTCCAGGGGATATGTGAAACTACTGCATATTTTTTTTTATTTAAAGCTTTCGTGACTGCAGGGATTCATATTCTTGGTTCTTTCGGTAAAGTCACGTAGAAGGGAAGCAATAAAATAATAGAAATATAAAACAATCAAATTCTCACGACGTTTCGACTGCAACACAAGCAATCATCATCAGGTGTGAAAACCACAGCAAGAAAGTTTGAAAAAAGTGGTTTTCACACCTGATGATGATGATGATGATTGCTTGTGTTGGAGTCGAAACGTCGTGATAATTGTATTGTTTTATATTTTTATTATATTATTGTTTCCCTTCTACGTGACTTTACCGAAAGAACCAAGAATACTGGATATTTGTGAAAAATAGCTTCATAGCTCATCAGATTCCTCCAGTATAAATACATATTCTGATTCTGGATGTTCTTGCTTGGACTCAGCATGCGTCCAGCATGTTGTCCGTATGCGGAGCAGCGTGTTGTTGAATACAAGCCCATGACATGCACGTTTGAAGCAATTGGCGGTACCCCGGGGTCCCGAATAAACGGAAGTCAAAAGCGTAATAAATTAATTAATTAGTTTTTGGTGACTCCGTCCCACCGCGCACACAAATGCGCGACCCACCTGGCGCGGATCATTCTGTTGTCGTGTCGCCCAAGCGCAGCGAGGACGAACGCGTAGATGAAACACAACTTTGATTAGCGCATCGTGTAGAGCTCGTCGAGAGGGATAGGTCGCCGTGCCGTTCGCCTTCAACATAAAATGACGTCGCAACGCAGTTTATGCGAGAGCCGGGGGCTTATGGGACCCCGGGGTCCCGCCATAAGGTTCACTTATCTATCAGCCTCCTACCTGTTATTGAGCTCACCTGGCGAATGCCTTCAAATGACTCCTTCCCATGTGTTATCGTCTTGATTCACTCGCGCATTCAAGTCACTTAATAAGGTTAATCTTTAGCCAACACCAGGGACAGGAGGTCATAGAATGCAGCTCACAAATGGCTACATTCACCTGCTATTTTTATTTTATCTTATCAGGTAAGGCCCACTGAGCTACTTTGTAGCAATTTTTCACAAGCCTCCAGGCCACAAATGATGTTTCTAAATGTGGAGGGAAAAACCGGAGGACCCGGAGAAAAATCCATGCGACCACGGGGAGAGAGACATGCAAACTCCAAATATACAGCAGGCGTTAGGGTCGGGATCGAACTCATGACCTCCTGTATACCAGGCGAGGTATACAGGAGGTCTCCCTAGTAGTATATCAAACCCACGACGTCCTGTATACCAGGCGAGGGAGTTAACATCTCGATACCGCGGCGCCCTGATGGGAAGGTGAGCCCAGAATAACCTGGGACTCACGGCTTTCCACACCTAACTGCCACGCTCCCACGATCTCAATATTTTTTTCAGAAGAGCCATTCCATGGGGTTTTAGTTTACGTTATCCTGTCCCAAGTGGAGAGAGAACTGTTCCCACCCCTTATGGTGACCAGAGCCAGTACCAGTCCACCCGACCTCCCGTCTCCATTCCATAAGACGTGAAGGATGTTACTGGTCCAGCTTCCGACGGAGGAATAGCAGCCTCTCCTCCCCAGCGAGCATTCGTACAAACCGCGTCTCGCAGATCCAAAAGCCCCAACCTCCTCGCGGTTGTCAGACAGACGGATGGAGGAACATCGTGGTGCGTTTGTACCCCCCCCCCCCCCCATCTCCCATCCACCTTAAACTATCGTGATCAAAGGAGCACAAGGAGAGAGAGAGAGAGAATGTGAAGCACGTTGTCGGACCCCGCCGAAGGGGGACAGAGCGTCCACGAGGTCTCCTGGCCAAACCTCACACGGCCGGGCCAGGGGATTGAAACGTCTCCCCCCACCCACCTCTTGATGTTCCATCCAGAGGCAACAGCAAATGATTGTGGCCAGCCACACGCACACTCTCACACCGTATACTCACTCGCTCGCTCGCGCACAACGCAAACACCAATCGCAGAGGCAAAAGATCACCCGTGTAGCCTCAACGGACTGTTGGGGCGAGTGCTGTTAGCGAGCAGCACCTATGAAGGCCGGCAAACACACAGGCGAGCGGGTGGGTGGCCGGCACCACTCTCGGCCACCTTTGTCTCCCCAAAAGGGACGTTTACACACCGCACCAGGTGCTCATTTGAGTCGGAACTCTGGTCGCCGAGTTCGTAGCGCAGCACCATAACCGCTGGACTACCGCTCCCCCCCCCACACTCTCACATTACACACACGCACTCACATTACACACACACACATTCACATTACACACACACACTCACACATTACACACACTCACGCGCACACTCACGCACACCGTCACACATCCGCACACTCTTACATACATACCACGCACACTGTCACACGCACACACACACCTCTGATGATAAGGAGTCGCAAGTGTTGAGTCTGCATGCATCATGGCTCCCCATTAAAACTCAATGCCCCTCGCTTCTATCGGCACCCACTCAACCCCCACGACCTCTTCCTCCTGCTCCTCCTGCCCATTCATTCGTGTCGCTCCGTCTCCCTGCACGACCCCCCTCCCTCTTCATCCCTCACTGCGAGGACTCTCTCCCTCACTACGTCTCTCCCCCCATCTCTCCCTCCACCAACAACTCCTCCTTCTCTCCCCTACCTCTCTCCATCCCTCCTCCCCTCTCTCTCCATTCTCCCTCGCTCCCTCCTTCCCCTGCCTCCCTCCTTCTCTCCATACCCCCCCGCCTGCCAACTCCTCCTCCCACATCCCCTCCCTCCGTCCCTCCGCCGTGAGTGAGCTTCTCAGATGCCGGTAAGCCGTTAGGCACACTTACCACCCGCCGTCGGCATCATCACCCACCATCACCCATCATCACCCATCATCGCCACAGTAGCCCGCCCCCTCGAACCCCTATTAAACCCCGCGGGAGTAGCGCGGTCAGGCAAACGCCGAGGGGGGTGGGAGCTGAGAGGGAGACAGGGGAGATAAGAGGTGAAGGGAGAGAAAGAGACAGAGGAGGGGAGAGAGAGAGAACTCTGCTTGACGCTTACCTGCTCCGCGGGGAACGGCTCTGGAAGTCGCACAGGTAAGCAGCAGGTGAACTACCTGTGTGTGTCTCTCTCCGTATAGTGTACACGTGTGTGTGTGTGTGTCTCTCCGTATAGTGTACGTGTGTGTGTGTCTCTCCGTATAGTGTACGTGTGTGTGTCTCTCTCCGTATAGTGTACGTGTGTGTGTGTCTCTCTCCGTATAGTGTACGTGTGTGTGTGTCTCTCGATATAGTGTACACGTGTGTGTGTCTCTCCGTATAGTATACACGTGTGTGTGTGTCTCTCTCCATATAGTGTACACGTGTGTGTGCTTGAGAGGGAAGGAGAGCAGTGGCGCAGTGGTTAGCGCAATCGGATATCCGAAACCGGCGACCTGAGTTCAGTTGCCGGCAGCGCCTAATATCACCGGTGAATGATATCTGAATCGGTTTTCTGGACCTCCCCTAGATCGACTTTGCCTTAAATTAGTACCCGCCGCTTGGCGAGGCGAATGCGGCCGCCGGCCGTCGTAGAGGCCACACCAACCTACTCGCGCGGCCGGCTTTTACGGCCTTAACCCGTGCTCGCTCACACGACACTTGACCCAAAAAGACTGCCAAGGCTACACGGGGGATCTTTGTCTTTGTACCAGTAGCCGGTAGTGGGGTTGGTCAGCTCTTTACTTGCTCCACTGGAGCCAGAGAGGTCATTCACTCGTGGGAATAGAATGTTTTTGTTGTCGAAACAAATAATTTATTTGGTGAGGCCGCTGCTACGTTGGCAGTGGTTGCGCACACGAACAAATAACGACCAAAAAAATGTCAACACTTTTATCAATAACACTGTGGCCTGGAAATGCCAAATAAATATATAATAGGCGACGTTTCAGGCAATTATCCTTTCGTCGTAGGAAATACAAATCAACTTCCTCGAGTTTTAACAACAACAAAAAACCGGTTTGCAATTTTTCTATGGTTATATCATGAGCCTAGATTCGACTCTCGATCAGGAGCAGTTTTTTTTTTTAGGGTTAACTCGCCACTGGCGTTAGCCGTGGCCGGGAATCGAACTCGGGTGGCCCGGCGGGGTTCACGTCGCTGTGCAGTGAAATAGATCGAGGCACCGCCATCACCGCCCCTTCGCAAACTTTGTACGGATAACATTTCAACAATAATTGCCCCCGCCCATCACACGCTCGCAGTCTAGTTCGATCAAGTAATAACTACTTTGTGGGAAGTCGACAACAATGATCGTCCGTCTTTTTGATGCCCCCCCCGCCCCCGCAATGAGAATTTGTCATTTCCATGAGGACCGCTCATGACTTCCACGGTGAATTTAGAATCAGCACGCGTTTAGAGAATTTGACTGCTATAAATTTCCACGTGGCGATAAGCCACTTTCGTTGAGCTATCATTTGTGGCCAGGTCGCTTCTGAAAAAGAGCTGTATAGCTCAGTGGGACCTTACCTGGTAAAATAAAATAAAAAAAAGTTTAATTGTTTAGTTAAATATTTACGGCGACTAAAAATAGATTCGTTTTAATTTAAAACGGACCCCACGGTAGTCATGGAGGTGCTGGTAGCTAGACTCTGCTGCTGATGACGATGATTCTCAAATACATCAAAACCGGTGCATAGTCTGTCCAGTTTCGCGAATTTCGGACGTAAACGTCAGCGTTTAAACAACGTTGGGGGGCTCCCGGTCTGGACACATCTTGGAAGCTACGCAGACGTTTGAGCTCTTGGTCAGCACCTCGCATGGGGAGACTGCCTGGAAATGAATGAGACCAGGTTTGGGGATGCCGAGGCTGCGAGGCGGTGCCAGAAGGTGGCAGTGCGGCAAGGGATTCTACAATCCATCTGCGCGGTGGTTTGTCTCCAGCCACGCTCGAGTTTTCTCTGACCCACACGAAGCCAAAAATATCATTAGAGGAGGGCTAGTGCCGGATTGTCCTCGTAGCAAAAGTAGCTACATATGTAGTAGCTACGGGCCCCGCACTTTCAAGGGCCCCGCGCGAAATGCTTTCAAGCTATCAATATCTGGTTCAGTTATTCTGCAGCTTACTCTATTACTATAGTACTATACCGCCTTCAACTTTTATGAACGACTGGGTGATTAAGGTTAGCGATTTGTCATAATATCTGGCTGTATAGCAAATGGAAAAAATACAATTATTTTACTGTACAAGTTAAAAATTTGTGTTTTAATATTTCTGCGTGTTTTTATTTATATTTAGGGCCCCTTTAACATATGCTACAGGCTCCGGAACTGGTGGGGGGGGGGGGGGGGTGGCCAAACAGGTAGGGACCCCTGCTGGTGCTGCAAAAAAACCTCATCCTTGAGAATCAGTGAGGCTTTCCTGGTAAGATAACGAGCGTGACTGTGCCACTATTATTATTGTTAAAGAAGAGAGAGAGACGACGATGCTGCCGCGATTGTCCATGGTCATCGCACTGGACTTGATGATCCAGAGGTCACCGGTTCGATCTGTAGGCGCGGCGGGTAAAAAACGGACGAGTTTCTCAAATCTCTCTTCCAACCGGCAGTATGAATGTGTATGCCACGGTTAAGTCGACCGGCAGATAGCGTGTGGTGGGGTAAAGTGTGGGTGCCCGTACCCTCTTGCAATAGGTTCTGGCGAGGGTTGGAGTGGAGGTTAAACATTCCCTCTCGTGCAGAATAGGTTTTCCCCTTTTTTTTCTGGCTACAAAACAGGTGTTAAGATGTTAAAACACCAAACTGAAACGTACTCTTTGGTTGTTTCGGTAAAGTCACGTAGGTATAAAATAAAATAAATCACGACGTTTCGGGCGCAACACAAGCGTCCGTCATCATACCGACGTGACTTTACCGAAAGAACCAAAGAGCATGGATTCCTTAAGTCACGAAAGCTTCAAATCAAGACCAAACTGAAACCTTTTACAAGGAATCATGTCTGCATTAACCGCACATACTAGTGGTCTGAATGCAAACAAAAAAACTTACTCTGTTCGTATATGCATTGTCTTTGAAACTGATTGGTCCACGCCAGAGACAGCTTTATTTCGAGCCTCGTCTCAAACGGTGTTAGACCCCCTCTAGCGTAAGTCTTTCCGCCAGCAGTGGCGTGAGCGAGCAATTGCAGGGCCGCGCCTTTGCCTGCTACGGACCGAGAGATGGTGCCGATGACGACGACGACGATCAATCTATCCGGGTTGCATGAAGAATGTTGTCACGATGCCGTTAGCTACGTAAACGGCGCGAGCGAGGTTCAACTTGCGTGCATGCGTGCGAGGAAGCGCAGGCCACGTGAGACATGGCTCCCCTCTCCATCCTGGGGGGGGCTCCGCGGCTCCCCTTCCTCCTGCTCCTGCTCCTCGTCTTCGCGGCTTGGATGGGGCCTCGAGTCGAGGCTCAACAGGGTGAGTATTGGAGGGGGGGGTCCCACAGTCCTACCACCTACCCCCTATCCCCCCATACCCCCCCCCAACAGCTATGCTGTCAACCCATATGGTTAACCCCGTGTTCTTCTACAGAGGAATTGAGTTTTCACGTCCGTACGGCGTAGAGCCGTTTCAAAACGGGCACATATAAAATAATGTCTCTATTCGTTTGTGTATGTTCCTTGGGACTTTGTGGGATGAACGTTGAGATTTTATAAGGGGCACGGGGTGACCAATACGGTCTGAATTGGTATGTAAATAAGGTAGGAGGCACTGATAAGGGGTTGAGAGGTATTCTACAGCCAAACTCGCTGCACGCGCCCGATGATTACGACACCATTGTCACGTTGCGGTTTAATGTAATCGGCGCTCTCTCTCTCTCTCGCCATCTCCACGTCACGAGGGAAGTGCTTAACGCATTAAGACGTTCCGCTATTAAACCCGGAATGTTTCTTCATTATTATTTAATTTAATACCGCGGGATTAAACGCCGGGCTTTAACGCCACGAATTATTCGGTTCGCCGAAAACATTTTTTTCGGGGGGGTGGTTTTGTTCAGGGGGATGGTTTATTTGTAAGCGTCTCGCACGAAGACGTCGAGGTAACGTTAGAGCAGCTGAGCGCAACACAGACAACTAATGTTGTCGGTGACTCCCTTCGCGTGGACGTCGAGGAAGACGACAGCCGGAGCTTGGCTCGCCGTGGGCTTTGCCGGATAGGATGGGGATGGTTTCGTGTTGTATTTGTACGTGTTTGGGTGATTTGTGTACCTTGATTGTACTTTGCATTCCTATGGTAAAAAAAAAATAGTTTATTGTTGTAACGTTCTTACCCGCCCTGACTGGACATCTGTGAAAAAGAGCTTCATAGCTCATCGTATTCCTCCAGTACGAATGCATATTTTGATTTTGATTCGGTACAGCAGCAAAAATGTGGGACTGCACACCGTTCTGTCTGTACGGGATAGAGTGTTTCCCCCTCACGCACGCACGCTTGACGTCTTCTCCTGGTGCTCCAGTGTCCTCTTCCCCACGCGTACAAACAACTCGTTCATTGGCCGATAGCACCCTGAAATGAGGACCGCAGAACTTGGGCAATTGTTGGTGCTGGCTGGCAGTTGCCGTTCCTGCTTGTCTGTGCCATAAGTCGTTCCTCTCACTCTCTCTCTCTCCAATACGAGAGCGAGCGAATATTCTTGTCGCGTTACAGCCGCGGCTCTTCATTGCAAGGCCCGCGAGCCACTGGTGGCCCCCTCGAGGCCTTTACTGCGGCGCCTCGACATGAAGCCCCAGACAATACGCAGCATGTCAAAACACCCCCCCCCCTCCCCCATCATCATCGTGCTGCTGTCAAACTCACAAAGTATTCTTGCTTCTTTCGGTTAAGTCACGTAGATAAAAAAAATAGAAATTAAAAATCTAAAATAAGAAAATAATCAATTGAAAATAATAAAAGAAAAAAAACACAATAAAAATAAAGAAGAAAAATAAAAATAGTTAAAATAAAAGAAAAATTTGATTCTTTATTTTTATTGTGTTTTTTTTTGCTTTTAATTATTTTCAATTTATTATTTTTACTTACATTTTTTTTCTATCCACGTGACTTTACCCAAAGAACCAAGAATATGAATTCCTGCAGTCACGAAGTTTAAAGTCAAAATTGAAACCCCCAAAGGTTTCCAACGTGTGGCGGCCCTCACACTGATGGTGTCTTATCAGCGAAAGTGCCCCCCCCTTGAAAGATATTGAAGAATACTGTGTTACAAGATGCAATTATTATATTTATTTATGATCAGTTCCCTCTGCTGTATCGTCATCATCAGGGGTATAACTCTGAGATTACCCCTGAGTTTCTGTGGGATTACCCATGGGTTACTGTGGGATTACCTGTGGGTTACTCCGGCATTTACCCCTCAATTATCCTGGGATTACCCCTGGATTACTCTGCGATTGCTCGTGCTGCGGGTTTGCTCACTGCAGTGGTTGAGCGGCGCGTGAATTCGAGATAACGCGTTTAGAGCCGCGTGCCAGGCGAACGGCGTGTGCTGTTCCAGGTGGTGTGCACCACATGAACCTGTGATGTACCGGTGATGTTCCATGCAATGTGCCACGTGATGTACCCTGTGGTTTGTACCACGTGATGTATCCACGGCGTTCGAAGACCGTCGGTAGTACACCACGTGACGTACCCGTGATGGACTGACAGGGGCTGCACGTGCACGCGTACACACACACACACGTGTACACACACACACACACGTGTACACACACACACACGTGTACACACACGTGCACAAGTTCAACATACATACCTCTACACGTACACATGTGTCACGTCAGCCACGCGATTACAAAACACATCACCCCTCCCTCCCTCTTCCACCATCCCCTAATCCCCCCCAATCCCCCCCCCCCGCCCGGCTTCCCAAACCGTGCTCCCGCAGATCCGTTCCGACGGCAATTCCAGCGCGTGCCGGACCACGCCCTGCGGGCCACGGCCGGCGCCCCGAGGGCGCACGTGCGGGGCGTCTCGACGGGGGAGTGCGCCCTCCTGTGCCTGTCGGAGCGCGGCTTCCACTGCGCCTCGTTCGACTGGAGCGGCGGCGGGGGAGGCGGCGGGGGAGCAGGGGGTGGAGCAGGGGGTGGAGCAGGGGGTGGAGCAGGGGGGGCAGGAGGAGGAGGGGGGGGATGCGCCCTGCACGGGGAAGGGCTGAGCGGAGAGCACGGCCTCGAGGTGTCGGAGGGCACGGACCACTACTCGCGCGTGGAGGGTGGGTGCGAGGAGACGCGGCACGCGGAGAGAGACACGCGGAGAGAGACACGCGGAGAGAGACAGGCGGAGATGGATAGGCACGCGGAGATAGACGGGCAGAGACTCGGGTGCTCGTTTGCGGCCGAGTTAACCCAGGAAAAGTCCAGGACCGATTCAAATATTCGTCACTGAGATTGGCCGTGAGCGAACTGGGGGTCACCGGGTTCATAGCGCCGCACTACCCCTCCCCACACAGACACAGGCACAAAGATCTCCTTGACAATGAGTGGAGTAGCTTAGTGAGTGCCGATTAAAATTTCATGGTAACACAACACGAAGACAAAGGCCGCCCCCCCCCCCCCCGCGTAGCCTCTCTACCAGACCGTTGGGACAAGTGCCCTCAAAGCGTCTCCACACCGCTTGTGACAGGCTAGGTGCACCATGAGACAACGTCAAGTGTCAAAGACTTGCTTCTGGCAGGTGGGACATGGCGCAGACCCAGGTGTTATGGGTTAACTGAGATGACTGGCAGATGCACAGCCTGGTGCCGTCTGGCTGTGTTTTATCCGCCCCCCCCGCTCTTGCTCGTTGTTGTGAGCGTCGCTCATCTGCCCTCCGTCCTAAGCCTCTACACAAAGACAAAGATCCCCCATATAGCCTGTGCTGTTAGCGAGCACTTACGAAGGCCGGAACGGCACACGAGGGGGTGGGTGGCCAGCACCACGCCCGACCGCCTTTGTCTCCCCAGTGGTGATGTATACACACTGCATTAGGTACTCATTAGAGACTGAATCCATTTAGGGGAGGCCCAGGACCGGTTCAGATAGTCTTAACAGACTGTAGGGGCAAGTGTTGTTAGCGAATAACATCTATGATGGCCGGAACGGCACACGAAGGGGTGGGCGGCCAGCATCACGCCCGGCCGCCTTTGCCTCCCCAGTGGCGACGTTATTACAAACCGCACCAGGCACTCATTTGAGGCTGAGTGGACCTAGTTGAGGGCCAGGACCAGTTCGGGCAGCAGCGATACTTTTTTTTTCACGTGCCACCGACTGCAGCCACAATCCAACCATCGAGCGATGATGGAATTAAACCTCGCTCACGGCAATCAACAACACATCCCTCCTGCTTGATTTGAAGCTTTCGTGACTGCAGGAATCCACACTCTTTGGATCTTTCGGTAAAGTCACGCAGGTAGAAAAAACAATAGATCACGGCGTTTCGATCGCAACAACAAGCAATCGTCATCAGGTGGGACACTTGGGAGAGAGATCTGCTGAGAGACCCCGCAGCAGCACCTGAGTCACTGCGGGAGAGACCTGCCGATCTATCATCTTTCCCTCCTTCACGACCCCACATCCTTGCCTCCTCGTTTGGCGCGCACAGAGGGCCCCCTCTCGCAGTTCCTGCCCTACGGGTTCGGCGCCATCCCCGGGCGCAACCACGCGGTGTTCGCCAACGTGAGCTCGGCGGAGTGCGCCCTGCGCTGCCTGGACGAGGCGCGGTTCCGCTGCAACTCGTTCGACTTCGTGGTGGGGGCCAGGCTCTGCCAGCTCAGCAACTCCTTCGCGGCGCTCGTCGGCGGCATCCGCACCGACCTGGGCACCAACGTGATGCACTTCGAGCGCCTGAGTACGCGGGGGGAGGGCGGGGGGTGGGGGGGGGCAAGGGGAGGGCACTGGGTGGGACCTGGGTGGTCATGGGGTGAACACTGAGAGGTCACCGGTGGTCATTCAGTGGTAACTGGGTAAGCAGTGAGTAGGTCATGGTAGGTTACTTGGTGGTGACACCGATTGACTTTCAGCGTCACCACGGCCACCACCACCTCCATCGCTACGATCGTGACCGCCGTCGGCAATCACCGTCGTCTCCACTCGGACCACCATCATCAATCATAAGTCGGGTCGTAGTGGGGAACTTCCGCGGATTTGCTGCGTTTCCCTGCAGCCTCGCTGGAGCGCTCCTTCCTCGGCACGGCGGGAGCCTTGCTGGGCCATGGCTGGGTTCGCACCGTGCGCCAGATCGGGCCCTCGCGCTGCGCGATGCTCTGCCTGCGTGAGACAGCCTTCATCTGCCGGTACCATCATCATCATCAGCAACATCAGCATCATCGTGATCATCATCAGCAGCAACAACGTTGTCATAATCAGCAGCAGCATCATCAGCAACATCATTATCATCATCAGTAGCATCAGCAGCATCATCAGCAACATGATCGTCATCAGCAGCATCATCAGCATCAGCAACATCATCAAAATTAGCAACATTATCATCATCAGCATCAACATCATCAGCAACATTATCATCAGCAAAATCATAATCAGCGGCAGCAGCATCCTTAGCCACAGCGTCACGATAAAACAGACTCAGCAGCGGTAGCAGTAGAAGCGTCACGGTTATCAGTGGGGTCAGCAGCATCATCATCACCAGCAGCAGCAGCTCCAGCAGTCAATAGCAGCAGCAGAAATAACATAAACAGCAGCAGCAAGCAACAGCAGTAGCATTAGTAGCAGCTGCATCATCCGCGGTATTAGTTGTATCATCAGCATCAGTAGCATCATCAGTATCAGTAGGATCATCATCATCAGCAACATTCTCTCAATGCAATTCAAAGCGGGCTTTTCATTTAGATTAAATTATAATGGCGACGCTGCTGCTGCTGCTGCATTGTCAGTGGTACACACGCACGGTTAACATAGCAATCTCAACGCACTCCGTCAACGACGCTGTGGCCTTCAAAAGAAAAATAGATATTAGGTGGACAAGGTGGAGAGATGTTAACTACCTCGCTCGGTATACAGGAGGTCGCGGGTTCGATCCTAACTCTGACGCCTGCTGTACATTTGGAGTTTGCATGTTTCTCTCTCTCTCTCGCCCCGTGGTCGCGTGGATTTTTCCCCGGGTCCTCCGTTTTTTTCCTCCACATTCAGAATCAACATCACCACGCGTTTAGAGTCTTTGGCTGTTGCCACGTGATAAGCCACTGCGCTGAGCTTGTGTCTGAAAAAGCGCTACATAGCTCAGTGGGCCTTACCTGGTAAAAACATTTTTGTTGTTTGGTTTCACATATATACGGCGACGTTTCAGACAATGGCCCTTGGAGTGCGTTGAATTTTGTCGCTGCTCTTAATCTCTTGTGCTTAGTAGTGCTGATCTCTCACCCAGATCGGGAAGAGCACTGCTCTGTGAGCACGGGTGGAACAACACGGACGTTCAGAATGAACGCATCGCTCGCGACCCAAACGCCGTCGCAACTCCCGGCGCGTTCACACGCTCCCCCTTCGAAGGCAGCGCAATGGAACAGTGCCAACGAGAAGGAGTCGCGAGCGATGCGTTGTTGTTGCTGTGGTTGTTGTTGTTGTTGTTGTTTACGGGAGTGAGCAAACTAATCGCAAGGCGGGGCGGGTGGGGTGGCGTGCGCAGGTCGTTTGACTACTCGCTGGCGACCCTCGAGTGCCACCTCAGCGGCCTCATGGAGAGCGACGTGGGGGGCCTCGTCACCAACCTGAGCACCCCCATCAACCACTTCGAGATGCGGCAGACGACGGGTGGGTACCGGTGGGGGCGAGAGGGGGAGGGGCGGGAGGGAGGGGGGCGGTTGGGGGGCGGGAAGGGGGTGGGGGGTGGGAGGGGTGGGGCGGGAGGGGGACGAGAGGGGGGGACGGTTGTGGGGTGGTAGGGGGGGACGAGAGAGGGGGGTGGGAGGGGGGGCGGGAGGGGGGAGACGAGAGGGGGGGGTGAGAGGGGGGTGGGAGGGGGGCTGGAGGGGGGGCGGGAGGGAGGGGGACGAGAGGAGGGGCGGGTGGGGGGCGGGAGGGGGGGCGGGAGGGGGGGGTGGAAGGGGGGGCGGGAGGGGGGGGGACGAGAGGGGGGGTGAGAGGGGGGGTGGGAGGGGGGCGGGAGGGGGGGCGGGAGGGGGGGGACGAGAGGGGGGGTGGGAGGGGGGCGGGGGGGCGGGAGGGGGGGGACGAGAGGGGGGGACGGGTGGGGGGCGGGAGGGGGGGACGAGAGGGGTGGGGTGGGAGGGGGCCGGGAGGGGGGACGAGAGGGGGGGGGGCGGTAGGGGGAGGGGGATGTCCTCAGCGGCGGTGCCCGGTCAACTTTACTGGAGGATCTGCAAAAAAAGAGCTTGAAAGCTCATCGGATTCTTCCGGTACGAATAAAATAAATAAATATTCTCATTTCTGGGGGTGGGGTGGGGGCGGGGGGGTCGACCTAGGGGAGGCCCAGGACCGGTTTAGATAATCGTCACCGCTGTTGGCCGTGAGCGGGAATCGAACTCGGGTCACGCAGTGCGCTAACCGCTACACCGCCGCTCCTCATGTCCACACGCACGCTCCCGACACACACAACGCATCCCGCAGACTGCGGGGGCAGCTTCGAAGGCACCATGGGGACCCTGGCTTCGGTTCTGTGGCCACGCAACTACAGCGGGAGTCGAACCTGCGACTTCAAGGTCACCGTCCCGGAGGGGAAGATGGTCTCGCTCAACTTCACTCACTTCCAGCTGCACACGCGCGGCGGTGCCGGTCAGTGTGGGGCGGTGTGTGTGAGTGTGACGGTGTGTGTGTGTGTGTGTGAGGCGGTGTGTGTGTGTGTGAGGCGGTGTGTGTGTGTGTGTGGGGCAGTGTGTGTGTGTGTGACGGTGTGTATGTGTGTGTGTGAGGCGGTGTGTGTGTGTGGCGGTGTGTGTGGGGCGGTGTGTGTGTCTGTGAGGAGGTGTGTGTGTGTGTGGCGGTGTGTGTGGGGCGGTGTGTGTGCATCTCACTCCTCAGTGTGCCGGGAAAGGTCCTGGCAAGGATTATTCAGCATCGCCTTGCCAGGCACGCTGAGGAGAGGCTTGCGGAGCCCCAATGCGGTTTCAGGAAAGGGCGGTCCTGCACAGATGCCATATTTTCTGTCCGTCTGCTACAGCAGAGGTGTAGGGAATTCCAACAAGACCTACATCTCTGCTTTATTGACCTGGTCAAGGCCTATGATACCATCAGTAGGCCTGGGCTCTGGGTCGTTCTTCGTGCTTTTGGAGTACCTGACCCTCTGCTCACGATCATTAAGGACCTTCATGATGGTGAGCGGGCCCGGGTAAAACTACGTGGCCGGGAGTCAGAGCCATTCCCTGTACACCTTGGGGTGCGACAGGGATGTCCTCTGGCTCCCACATTATTTAACATCTATTTTGACCACGTAGTTCGTGAAGCCTTCAATAGCTGTACCGGGGGAATCTCCATATGGTACAGATATAATGGGAGGCTAATCGATGCCCGGGTGCGGTCAAGGGATGGCTCCCTATTGCTCAACCACGTTATGTATGCTGATGACTTGGTAATAGCTGCTCAGTCAGAGGAGGAGTTGGAGACGCTGCTGCTGAGACTGGAGCGTGCCACTAAGAGGTGGGGCCTTACCATCAGCCCCACCAAAACTAAGCACCTGCCTGGGTATTTTGTACCATCGGACACTCCACCCCCACAACTCCCAATCGGTGATGGGGCAGTTGTGGAGAGAGTGGAGAGTTTCCCATACCTGGGCAGTGTGCTTATGACTGGCTCCAGTTTAACAGCAGAGGTCTCACTCCGAATCAGTCGAGCGGCAATATCTTTTCATCGGTTGCGTAACGCTGTGTGGAAGCTACCTGGTCTATCGCTCCGCACTAAGCTTCAGGTCTTCTCGGCCACGGTCATTCCCTCCCTTCTCTACGCTTGCGAAACGTGGACCCCCCTAATGGAACATCTTCGCCGGTTAGAAACATTTAGGCTGACCTGCCTACGATCCATCCTGGGTTTAACCAGACTGGATTGTGTGAGGAGCTCACAAATCCTTGAAAGATCTGGGCAGGGTCCCATCGGTGAGCTCCTCCGGCAGGCAAGGCTGCGATGGCTGGGTCATGTAGCCCGCATGCCCAGCCACCGCATGCCGAAACAGCTTTTGTTTGGCCGGATTGAGGGGGCTAAGCGGGCGCGGCACGGGCTAGAGAAGAGATGGAGTGATGTGGTACAGGAGGACGTGGAGCTGAGTGGACTTGCCGATGACTGGTACCAGCGGTGTCAAGATCGGCCTCTGTGGAGGAGGCTCGTGAAGGATGCTACTGGGCAGTTGGAGGCAGTCGCCCTCCAACAACAACGGAGGGCGGAGGAGCGACGCTCACAACAGCGAGCGGAGCGCCGGGTGGCTAAAGCACAGCAGGTTGGCACAGTAGGGGGCACAGGTGGTGCATCAGCCAGTCATCTCAGTCAGTCGACCCGTGGCACCTGGGTCTGCCCCGTGACCTCCTGCCAGCGGGCGTTCGACACTTCACGTGGCCTCAGGGTGCACATAGCCTGGCACAAGCGTCGTGGTGACGTCACCGCCACTTAGTGGCGAATGGCGGTTGTTGTTGTTGTTGTTGTGTGTGTGTGTGTGTGGCGGTGTGTGTGTGTGGCGGTGTGTGTGTGTGTGTGTGAGGAGGTGTGTGTGTGTGGCGGTGTGTGTGTGTGTGTGTGTCAGGCAGTGTGTGTGTGACGGTGTGTATGTGTGTGTGTGAGGCGGTGTGTGTGTGTGAGGCGGTGTGTGTGTGGCGGTGTGTGTGTGTGAGGCGGTGTGTGTATGTGTGTGACGGTGTGTATGTGTGTGTGTGGGGCGGTGTGTGTGTGTGTGGGGCGGTGTATGTGTGTGAGGCGGTGTGTGTGTGTGTGCATGTCTGGATGTGTATGTGTCGGGCAGTGTGTATGTGTGTGTGTGTGGGGCAGTGTGTGTGTGTGCGTGTGCGTGTCTGGATGTGTGTGTGTGTGCATGCGTGGAGCTGGCCACCCACTCCCCTCGTGTGCCCTTCCGGCCTTCATAGGTGCTCTTTAAAAGCACTTTCCCCAGCAGTTTGTTAAGGCTATTTTGTGTGTAAACATCATCACTGAGGAGACAAAGGCGGTCTGGGTGTGATTCTGGCCACCCACCCACTCGTGTGCAGTGTCGGCCTCCGTAGGTGCTTGCAAACAGCACTTCTCAAAAACCTGTTACACGCTATATGGGCGATCTTTGTCGTGGGGGTGTTTGCAGGGGTCTGTGTGTGGTGTGTGGGAGTGTGTGCGTGTAGATGGTACAATACCACAATACCATAGGATGACTGTGGACTATCCATACCTTGGCTTTAACACGTACGCTTTCGCGATCCAATATCATCCGTAATGTTTACGTGACGAGCTTTACTGGTTGGCTGTGTCGGGTGGTGGCGGGTTTTAACGAGACACATTTATATATTTACGAAATCTAACCCCCCCCCCAAAAAAAAACCACATACCTTGCACTCTAGTGGTAGTGCCTTACGCCGACAATCCCTCCGGCAAGCCAGCCAACAGCGGCGGCGTGCCCGCAGCACACCGAGAGCGCCTTGCGCTTGACCCGAACCGTTGTGTCCTCGCAACGTTAACGGGCGCTCGCTAACAGCATTTGCCACCCCCCCCCCGCCCTCCCGCCCCGATTCCCCTAGGTGCGACGTGTGGGCCTGGGGCCGGGGGGGCCTGGGTGTCGGTGCGGGGGGGGGCCGACCCGGCCGGCGGCGGCCCCCTCCTCGCCACGTGGTGCGGGAGCCGTCCCGGCGGGAGCCTCCTCACCTCGCCGTCCAACGAGGTGGCGCTGCGCTTCGCGTCGGACGGCACGGGCAGCGCGGCCGGGTTCCGAGCCTTCTACTCGTCGGGTGCGAGTTCGAGTCCCGGGTGGGGGGGGGGGGGGGCGGGGGGTCGGGGGGGGGGGATTCCTAGTTGGTTGGGGGGGGGAGTGAGAGAGCGTGCGTGTGGAGCTTGAGCGCAGGTGGTCATGGTCTGCTTCATCAGCAGCAGCAGTAGGGACGGCAGCACTGCCACCACCGCTACTGCCATCTTCGTCGTCGTCATTGCCACCACCCACACTGTCAACATTATGTCCTTTACCGCTTTCACCACTACCACCATCATCAATGCCACCACCACCATCACCAACACTGTCATTATGATCGCTGGTACCACCACCACCACCACCACCGCCGCCGCCATCATTATTACCACTACCACCAACACTATCAACATCGTTTACTGCTACCACCACCACCATCATTACCACTACTACCAACATTATCATCCTCATCGACCGCTACCACCACAATCGTCATCATCATGGTCGCTGCTACGAGAACCACCGTAACCACCACGTCGCCACTGCCGCCCGCAGAGTGGCCGTGCAACGCGACGCTTCGTGAGCCGGGGGTGTTTGCAACGCCCTGGTACCCAGCAACGCACCCTGCCAACCACCAGTGCACCTGGACCCTGCAGGCACCGCCCGGATTCAGGGTACGAGCACGGGGACTCACACACACCTGGGTGGACTCACACACACCTGGGTGGACTCACACCTGGGTGGACTCACACCTGGGTGGATTGTCACACCTGGGTGGACTCACACCTGGGTGGACTCACACCTGGGTGGACTCACACACACCTGGGTGGACTCACACACACCTGGGTGAACTCACACCTGGGTGGATTGTCACACCTGGGTGGACTCACACCTGGGTGGACTCACACCTGGGTGGACTCACACCTAGGAGGACTCACACACACCTGGGTGGACTCACACACACCTGGGTGGACTCACACCTGGGAGGACTCACACACACCTGGGTGGACTCACACACACCTGGGTGGACTCACACCTGGGAGGACTCACACACACCTGGGTGGACTCACACCTGGGTGGATTCACACCTGGGTGGATTGTCACACCTGGGTGGACTCACACCTGGGTGGACTCACACCTGGGTGGACTCACACACACCTGGGTGGACTCACACCTGGGTGGACTCACACACACCTGGGTGGACTCACACACACCTGGGTGGACTCACACCTGGGTGGACTCACACCTGGGTGGACTCACACACACCTGGGTGGACTCACACCTGGGTAGACTCACACACACCTGGGTGGACTCACACCTGGGTGGACTCACACACACCTGGGTGGACTCACACCTGGGTGGATTGTCACACCTGGGTGGACTCACACCTGGGTGGACTCACCTGGGTGGACTCACACCTGGGTGGACTCACACCTGGGTGGACTCACACACACGCATCCATGTGAACACACAGAACGCCACTAAGTGGCGGTGACGTCACCACGGCGCTTGTGCCAGGCTATGTGCACGTTAAGGCCAAACAACCCGCTACCTCCTCGTTGGTGCCGGACGGCAACGATCTGGTGAGCAGTGCCATGGGGTGGGGGGGGGGGGGCGGGGGTGGGAGGGCCAATTTCAATCGGCCATTGCCCTCATGGCGTTTGTAGCCACCACAGTGGCCAAAGGGGGCTCTGGACAGGCGCGAGGGGCCGGTGACCCGTCCACCTTCAACCCAGGTCCCACTAAACCACGTGAACTCAGGCACGCACGGCCGTCACACCCAGCCGTGCGTGGCCGACTGGCCTCAACAACCCCCCAACCCCGCACCTACCCAGAATGCCCCTCTTCTCCAGGTCCACCTGGAGTTCACCTTCTTCGACATGGAGGCCGCGCTCTTCCAGGAGTGCACCTTCGACTACGTGGCCGTGTTCGACGGCGACGCGGCGGGGGGCGGCCCGGGCGGCCCCACTCCCGCCGCCGGCGCCCCCCCCCCGGCGGCGTCCGCCGCCCCCCCCGCGGCCCCCCCCCTGCGCCGCCTGTGCGGGAACCCCGAGGTGCTGGAGCCCCTGGAGAGCGCGGGGTCACGCATGACGGCCAAGTTCAAGTCCGACTCCAGCATCCAGGGGCACGGGGCGCGCGTGCGGTTCTGGTTCGTGTCGGAGGCGCAGGGTACGTGGAGGGGCAGGGGCCGGGTACGTGGTGGGGAGGGGCAGGGTACGTGGAGGGGAGGGGCAGGGAACGTGGCGGGGAGGGGCAGGGTACGTGGAGGGGAGGGGCAGGGTACGTGGCGGGGAGGGGCAGGGTAAGTGGAGGGGCAGGGTACGTGGTGGGGAGGCTCAGGGTACGTGGCGGGGCGGGGCAGGGTACGTGGAGGGGAAGGGCAGGGAACGTGGTGGGGAGGGGCAGGGTAAGTGGAGGGGAGGGGCAGGGAACGTGGTGGGGAGGGGCCGGGTACGTGGCGGGGCGGGGCAGGGTACGTGGTGGGGAGGGGCAGGGTAAGTGGAGGGGCAGGGTACGTGGTGGGGAGGGGCAGGGTAAGTGGAGGGGCAGGGTACGTGGTGGGGCAGGGTACGTGGCGGGGAGGCGCAGGGTACGTGGAGGGGAGGGGCAGGGTACGTGGCGGGGAGGGGCAGGGTACGTGGTGGGGAGGGGCAGGGAACGTGGCGGGGAGGGGCAGGGTACGTGGAGGGGAGGGGCAGGGTACGTGGCGGGGAGGGGCAGGGTACGTGGCGGGGAGGGGCAGGGTACGTGGCGGGGAGGGGCAGGGTACATGGTGGGGAGGGGCAGGGTAAGTGGAGGGGCAGGGTACGTGGTGGGGCAGGGTACGTGGTGGGGAGGGGCAGGGTAAGTGGAGGGGCAGGGTACGTGGTGGGGCAGGGTACGTGGTGGGGAGGGGTAGGGTACGTGGTGGGGAGGGGCAGGGTACGTGGCAGGGAGGGGCAGGGAACGTGGTGGGGAGGGGCAGGGTACGTGGCAGGGAGGGGCAGGGTACGTGGCAGGGAGGGGCAGGGAACGTGGCGGGGAGGGGCAGGGTACGTGGCAGGGAGGGGCAGGGTACGTGGTGGGGAGGGGCAGGGTACGTGGCGGGGAGGGGCAGGGTACGTGGTGGGGAGGGGCAGGGTACGTGGCGGGGAGGGGCAGGGTACGTGGGGGGGCAGGGTACGTGGCGGGGGGGGGCAGGGTACGTGGTGGGGAGGGGCAGGGTACGTGGCGGGGAGGGGCAGGGAACGTGGCGGCTCGAGTTTGATTCCCGCTCGCAGGCCCAACACCGGTAACCATTATCTGAACCGGTCCTGGGCCTCCCCTAGGTCGACTCAAACTCAAATGAGTACCCGGTGCGGTGTGTAAAACATCAGCACTGGGGAGACAAAGGCGGCCGGGCGTGGTGCTGGCCAGCTGCCCTCTCGTGTGTCGTTCGAGCCTTCACAGGTGCTCCCTAACAGCACTTGCCCCAAGAGTATGTTAAGGCTATACGGGGGATCTTTGCCTTGATAATGGTGGTGATGACTATGATGATGGCAGTGGTGGTGGGGATGGTTGTGCTGAACATGGTTGTGGTGTTGGCAGTTATAATTATGATGATGGTGGTGGTAGTGGTGGCGGTGACGATCCTCCTTCCACTATTGATCCTGCTGCTGCTGCTGCTTCTGATGATGCTGCTTCTCATGCTGCTGCTGCTGCTTCTGCTGCTGCTGCTGCTTCTGATGCTTCTCATGCTGCTGCTGCTGCTTCTGCTGCTGCTTCTGATGATGCTGCTTCTCATGCTGCTGCTGCTGATTCTGCTGCTGCTTCTGATGCTTCTCATGCTGCTGCTGCTTCTGCTGCTGCTGCTTCTGATGCTGATGCTTCTCATGCTGCTGCTGCTGCTTCTGCTGCTGCTTCTGATGCTTCTCATGCTGCTGCTTCTGCTGCTGCTGCTGCTGCTTCTGATGCTTCTCATGCTGCTGCTGCTGCTTCTGCTGCTGCTGCTTCTGATGCTTCTCATGCTGAAGCTGCTGCTTATGCTGCTGCTTCTGATGCTGATGCTTCTCATGCTGCTGCTGCTGCTTCTGCTGCTGCTTCTGATGCTGATGCTTCTGCTGCTGCTGCTGCTTCTCATGCTGCTGTGGACGATGCTGACGGATGCTTCTCCACCGCCAGTGGGCTGCTCGTCGGTGCTGAGCTCGGAGCAGGTGTTTGGGAGCCCCGGCTTCCCGGCGCCGTACCCGGCGGACGCCGTCTGCGAGTGGATCGTCCGCGCGCCCGCCAACCGCGCCGTCGAGATCCGCTTCCTGCGCTTCGAGCTGAGGTCGCCGGGGGTCACGGGCTCGGGCGCGACGGACGGGACGCAAGCCTGCGACTCCTCGCACGACCACGTGAGCGAGGCTTTGCCATCGTCATAGTCGTCATCATCATCATCAGCATGACCCAACAGAAATCGTACTGTCGTCGTTGTCAGCTGCGGCATCGTGGCCAATAGCAACCGCTCGAAAAAACCCTTCGAGAGAGTACTTGGTCTCGTCTTCCATGCTGAACAGACGGCCTGGAAGAGGCGTGAGCACCCACGCTTTACACCAGCATACACGACCTGCCAATTGACCGACTGCGGTGTTTTGCCCATTCGTCTTGCCGAGTGGACAGATGCATTGATACACGTTGATAAATTAACGAAGACGCATTGTTCGTTGGGTCAACCGACACGGCCCAGCGGCAGCGTGTTCGCCGCTCGTTGCAGAGGGCTCGCGGCTGGAAATCCCTCGCGGTCTGCACTAGCCGTAGTAATGCCACACGCCATCTGCTTCACTCGCACGGAGGACGTTAAAGATTCCCGTGGCATCTTTCGCGCGAGTAGAACAACCTTTGGCAAGTGTAAAAATTTGCCCAATTGGAATTTTTCCAAAGCAATCAGCGCCGGCCTCCCACCCACCACCCCTCAACTCACTCTGGCAGAACCCTCCTGAAAAAGGGTTATAAGACTCGGTGAGGCATTCCTTGACAAACAAGAGTAGTCATAATAATAATGATGTTCCGTGCATGTAAGACGATAGCATTAATATCTCGGAGGGGGAAGGGAGGCTGCATGTGAACCGGGCGTCGCTGCGTTGTCGTCTCAGCTGTCTGTGCGCACACTAAACTATGTTATAAATATATATTTTACCACGTAAGGCCCGCTGAGCAATACAGCTTTTTTTCAGAAGCGACCTGGCCACGAATGATCACTTTAACAAAGTGGGTAAATCTTTAACAGCTAAAGACTCGATAAATGCATGTTTCTAAACGTGGAGGGAAAAAGCAGAGGAACCCGGAGAAAAATCCACGCGACCTCGGGGAGAACACGCAAACTCCAAATATACATATACAGCAGGCGTCAGAGTCAGGATTGAACCCACGACCTCCTGTATACCAGGCGAAGGAGTTAACATCTCGCCACACGGAGGCCGGGGAACTTTCCGCTCGCCCGTGCCGGTTCCATAATTAGGCGTAATGACTTCGAAAATCAATACGCTCGGGCCGTTCATATTTCTGCAACAACAAAAATAATAATTTATTATAATGATATTAAAAATCTCAAGGGGGAGCAGGATGGGCGGGGGGGGGGGGATGAGGTGGGGGGGGGGCGGGCGGCCCGTGGCGGATCGGTTGCCCGGCGCAATTTCTCCGATGACTGAGCTGAGTCGCCAGCACGCGCGACATGCGATCTCGTCCGCATTCCCGCGTAATTACCTGGCCGACAGGTGAGCGGCCCCATCCTCATCCTATCCCCCCCCCCCCCCCCCCCCCCCCATTTTACCAGGATCACTACCCCGCCGCTCCCCACCCCCCTACCCCCTCCCCGACTTGTCAATCTGCGGAGATATGCACACTCACGCCTACATCAAATCGCTCACGTGTACATAATTTTAAAGACTCCCACAGGGGTTGAATGTTTAAAGGCCCCCATAAGGTTCAATGTTAAAGGCTCCCATGGGGTTCAATGTTAAAGGCCCCCATTAGGTTCAATGTTTAAAGGCCCCCATTAGGTTCAATGTTTAAAGGCCCCTATTAGGTTCAATGTTAAAGTCCCCCATAAGGTTCAATGTTCAAGGCTACCATGGGGTTTCCTTTTAAAGGCTCTCTTGGGGTTCAGTGGTAAAGGCTGCCATGGGGTTAATTGTTAAAGGCTCCCAAAGGGATCAATATTTAAAGTCCCCCCCCATAGACTTCAATGTTAAAGGCTCCCACGGGGTGCATTGTTAAAGTGTCCCTGAAAAACAGAGGGGTCCTCACCTGTAACATCTGGTATTTAACCAACGTTGATTCAAGCGAGCGAGCCCGACTCTATCAGTGACACACGGTCACGCGCGGCTGGGTGTGACTGCCGTGTGTGTGTATGTATGTGCGTGTGTTCAACGGGGTTTAGTGGTATTTGGGTTGAAGGTGGAGGGGTTACCAGCCCCACGCACCTGTCCAGAGCCCCCTTTAGCCGCTTTGGTGGCTACAAACGCCATGAGGGGAATCGCCAATTGAAATTGGGCCTCCCCCGATGGCACTGCTCACCAGAGTTTTGCTTGTGCTGAATCAATGCTGCTGAAGTTATTTTATCCGAAAAATTGGAAGCGACATCACTAACATGGGTATCGTCATCAGCAGCAGCAATAACACCCATCAGCATAATTCTTACTATCCCACCCTCGAAGCAGTAGCAATAGCATCACCATCAGCCGAAGCAGTTGACATCAGCATGAGGTTGGCACATTCATTGTATCATCATGAGCATCATCGTCAACAGTGACATCATGATCAACAACAGCAGGAGAATCCTTATCATCATTGTCAGTGTTTTCAAGGTTCAAGTTGTTTTTGTTGAACCAGCAGAGAACTCTAAGAGACATGGTGGTTGGGGGGGGGTCGGGTTAATATCTCATTCGAAAAAGTGACCCGGGTCACCAAATTGGACAAAACCCGATAACAAACAGCGGATGATAAAACCTGGCGTTCCGGTGTCCTGACCCCTCATCCTCCCCCCTGCCTTACCACCCCCCTCCCCTACCGACCGACCCCCCTCCTCTCTCCCCGCCAACAGCTAGTGGTGCAGGATGGCCCCAGCACGACGTCGCCCGTGATGGGCCGCTACTGCGGGAGCAGCGCCCCCGAGCTCGTGGTCTCGGGGGCTTCGGCGGTGCGCCTCTCGCTGTGGGCGGCGGCGGCCGGGGCCGGGGCCGGGGGAGCGGTGGGGATGGGGGGGGGCTTCTCCGCGTCCGTCAGATTCGTGACGCCCGTGGCGTACGGTGAGTGGGCACTCGTGCTGGATTATCCTCGCGGCAAAAGTAGCATATGCTACCAGTGCCGGATGAAGCTAGTGCGGGGCCTGTAGCAAATGTCATGAAGGGGCCCTAAATAAAAATTTAAAACACAAATATTAAAACGCAAACTTTTAACTTGCATAGTAAAGTAATTGTATTTTTTCATTTGCTGTACAGCCAGATAATACGACAAATCGCTCACCTGAAACACCCAGTCGTTCGCCAAATCGTACTATGTACTCCCATCGTGTTTTTCGTCTTGTTTGTTGTTGCAACGTTTTGACCCGCCACTGCTCCTCCAAAAATAATAAGTGTCCTTTATTTACCCAAGGATGCCCTTCATATAATAATCATAATCATCTTTACTGCAGGAAGCCTCACGATAAAACCTCGATGAATGAATGAATGATTCTGTGACCGTCCTTCTAATATTAGGAAGCCAATGGAGCTATGCATTTTTAAACCATCTGGATTGAAAACTCACTTCTTTAGAACTGCTTTTTGTGTTTAATATGTTGACCTTCCCCCGCACCTCCGATTAGCACGGTTGGCTACGTACGGTGCGAAAGAGGTTCAACATACAGTACGTACAACAGCGGTGACGATGGTGATGACGATGGTGACGATGGCGACAATGACGACGGTGACGATGGCGATTCGGTCAGTCCTGGCGGATGTGGTGCCATGCGTACGACGGACGACTGAACAACCGATGAAATGGAACGCCGTCCCCGTGTGCCGCTGCGTCGACGCCAGGCCCCGGTTCCCGCACCTACGCCGTGCGCCTGGGCCCCAGCTCCCCCCGGGCCTTCGCCAGCCCCAACTGGCCCGACCTGTACCCCCGCGACGAGGACGCGAGGTGGGAGCTCACGGCGCCGCTGGGACACCGAATCCTGCTGCAGGTGCGGCGCCAGCACCACGCGTGCCTCTCGCACGGTGACGCAGCACGCGTGTGTCGCACGTGCGTTGGCGTGCGTGTGTGTGTCACGTGCGTGTCTGTGTGTCACGTGTGTGGCACGTGTGTGTGTGTGTGTGTGTCACGTGTGTGTGTGTGTCACGTGTGTGTGTGTGTGTCGCGTGTGTGTGCGCACACGGAGGGCGGTTTAAGGCTCAATCTGGAGCTGGCGACTCGATGATGAGGCATGAGCGCTATCATTTTGCTAAACAACAGCGTTCCCTGCCCTTCTCTACCCCTCCCTGCCCTTCCCTGTCCTTCCCTGTACTCCCCCCTCCCCCCATGTCCTAGACTTCCTCATCCCAACCTGCTCCGCCATGCTTCCTTCATCCCTTCCCCTCCCCTTCTCCCACCGCCACATGCCCCCAACCCGTGCCCCCCGTGGCCCAACCTCTTGCACTCCCCTCTTGCACCATCAGTGGCTGGACTTCCAGCTGGAGGGCGCCTCTCCGCTGAGCTGCCGCTTCGACAGCGTGACGGTGGAGTGGGGCGGCGCTCCCATCGTGCTCTGCTCCGACTCCGTGCCGCCGCCCGTGTCGTCGCGTGCGCGGTCGCTCAACGTCTCCTTCCACAGCGACGCGGGGCTCCACTTCCGCGGCTTCCGCGCCACCATCACGTTCCTGCCCGTAGCAGGTGAGGTCACATACCTGTCCTGTCCGTAGCAGGTGAGGTCACGTAGCTGTCCTGTCCGTAGGCAGGTGAGGTCACGTACCTGTCCTGTCCATAGCAGGTGAGGTCACATACCTGTCCTGTCCGTAGCAGGTGAGGTCACGTAGCTGTCCTGTCCGTAGGCAGGTGAGGTCACGTACCTGTCCTGTCCATAGCAGGTGAGGTCACATACCTGTCCTGTCCGTAGCAGGTGAGGTCACGTAGCTGTCCTGTCCGTAGGCAGGTGAGGTCACGTAGCTGTCCTGTCCGTAGGCAGGTGAGGTCACGTACCTGTCCTGTCCGTAGCAGGTGAGGTCACGTACCTGTCCTGTCCGTAGCAGGTGAGGTCACGTACCTGTCCTGTCCATAGCAGGTGAGGTCACGTACCTGTCCTGCATCTAGCAAGTGAGGTCACGTACCTGTCCTGTCCATAGGCAGGTGAGGTAACGTACCTGTCCTGTCTGTAGCAGGTGAGGTCACGTACCTGTCCTGCACGTAGCAAGTGAGGTCACGTGCCTGTCAGTGTCCAGGTAGCTCACTTAACGTGTTGACCAGATGAGTTGTGCACCGGGTTGAGTGTACTGTTTGGCTATTACACAACCGACCTGCTCACCAGGCACCTACGTGGCCACACCAGGTGGAAGCACATCCCTCGCCAGTCTCATGCCCGTGGGGACGATTTGCAACGGCGATTTTTTAAATAAAGCTGGTATCTCCGAAGCAATCGAATACTCTCCCATTCATCGGTTCTGTTACTCGACTAATTGTATGGATAAGGTAAACAACAAAAAAAAGTCTGACCTTCGCCCACGTGTAACACTGGATGGGAGCTGATGGGCGGGGTGTTGTGACGTCATCAGAATTGTCAGTTGCGCAACGTTAGGCGTGGCTTGCAGGGGGTTTCCTACCTTTGGCAGGCGACCTCCATTTTTAAAGGGGCCCTTGTAATCAACCACGACAAAAAGCAGTCGTTTACAATTTTTAGGCGTTTAATCGACGAATCACCTCGAATGGACGATAACATTTAATTGAACTCTACTCGGTGTTTAACAATTCTTTCCCCTTGCGATTCGACGAATCATCGCCGATTCCGACGTTCGGTCGCTGCGGCCACGCCCGCGCTCCGCGTTTGTCTGTGCAGATGAGGAGGAGACAACGACGACGAGACGAACAACGACGGCCATGGGGCCTCCACAACCCAGCCGGACTGCGAGCACCACCAGCCCCCCAACGCCACCGCCACCGCCCCCCGGTCAGCCGACGCACTCGCACGCTAACTCGCACCGTCGCTCATCCCAAACGTAACCGCGGGCCACCCTGTCAATATGATTACGTAAAAAAAAAATTTCGCCAGACCTGGCCACAAATGATCACTCAACAAAGTGGCTTATCGTGAGAAAAATCTATAACAGCCAAAGACTCTGTAAATGCACGTTGATTCTAAACGTGGAGGGGAAAACCAGAGGACCTGGAGAAAAATCCACGCGACCACAGGGAGAATATGCAAACTCCAAACATACTGGCGTCAGGGTCAGGATTGAACCCACGACCTCCTGTATACCAGGCGAGGGAGTTAACATCTCGCCACTGCGGCGCCAAACACAGGAAACCTTTTAAGGTTACGATGTGATTTCTTAGTCGTTTCCAGGCTGCACTCTGTCCGTAGCGGTGGGCTCAGTGGGAATTGCCATTTGTTTATCTCAATGCTTGTCAATAGATTATGTAAATGAGTATTTTCCAATTGGGAATTAGTTTTGCGTAGGATTATCAACGTTTCTTTTTTTTAAAATAAAAATAAATCGCGTATCCTTGCTGGTAGGCACGAATGTCGAGCGCGAGGTTAATAGAACACCAGGGGGAACATCAAATACGAAACTTGGCAGTAGCACGGCGTGTCTCCCAACAAGGCTATCTGATTGAGCTTCACAACGGTGATGTTCCATGTAAAAAAGAAAAAAAATCGCTAAAACCCGGCAACACTCGCATCACTTGACGACGGTATTTGATATGGCTGCGTCGGGTGGAGGACGGTGTGCGACACACGTTGGCGTTGCGCTCACGTGGTCTGGCTCGAAGACATATCGTGGATGTGTGCCCCTTATTCTGATAAGTAAAAACATTCAATTCCCACATATTCGTCAATAACCCTGTGTGGCCTTAACGAGAGAAAGGTATCATAGGCAACGTTTTGCGCAATGGCTATGAAGACTTTGCCTATTATATATTTTTACTTTTGAAATCCACACAGTGTTGCCATCGACGAATGTGATGAGGTTATCGGTTATTTGTGCTCGGGGGCGCCACTGCCAACGCAGCAGTTTCGCATAATGAATTACTTATCCTCTTTGGTTCTTTCCGTAAAGTCACGTAGAAAGAAAATAAATTAAATAATAGAATACGACGTTTCGATTGCAACACAAGCAATCGTCATCAGGTATAACTCAATTTTGTCTGCGTGTCTCCGTGTCTGTGTTTTGTCTCTCTCTCTCAAATTTAGTTCTACCTGATGACGGTTGCCTGTGCCGCAATCGAAACGTCGTATCCCATTATTTAATTATTATTTTCTTTCTGCGTGACTTTACCGAAAGAAGCAAAGAGTAATTCTTGCAGTCACGAAAGCTTCAAATCGAGTTTGAATTACTTATCGCAATGCACGTATTTACATTTGCACTTAAAAAACGTAAATATCTGCAGTGGTGCGTATGTAACATGACATGCCACAAAGCATGTAAAACAACAGTCGCGTTTAAATGATGAAGTTGCCTTACAGATTTTTTTGTATTATTTGACCGTTAACCCTGAAACCCGTTTACTCTCATGGACTGGACAGTGCGGCAGCTTTTCAGCGGCTCGCTGACGTTCGACAACGTGGAGTTCACGCCGGCGCTGGGCGACAGGGAGAGCAACGTCTTCAGGGCCATGGCAGAGCACGTGGCTCACCTGGTGAGCGCCGCGCTCCCATTTCCCAGGGGCCTTAGAGGAGCAGCTCTCTCTTTTTTTTTGAAATCGTGTTTTTAATTAAACAAGAGCGTAATACAGAACGCGAATGACGGGGGGGCGGGGGGGGGGGGGCGGGAGGTGTGGTACAGATACTTCGCGAGCAACAACTATAAACTTATTTATTTTACCAGGTAAGGCCCGCTGAGCTATGTAGCTCTTTTTCAGGAGAGACCTGGCTACCGCAAATGATGGCTCAACGAAGTGGCTCATCGCGTGGAAATTTATAGCAGCCAAATATTCTAAACACGCGTTGATTCTAAACATGGAGGGAAAAACCGGAGAACCCGGAGAAAAATCCATGCGAGCACGAGGAGAAAACCGGAGGCCAGGTGCCCTCGGGGTAGGGACCGGAAAAAGGTGGCTGTACTCACTCCCTTACGTCACGTAGGGGGCAACGGTCGGGACCGTGGTATTATTAGGGGAGGGGAAGACGAGGGGAGGAGGGGGGGATGACACTCTCTCTCTTAAAGGCACACGTGCTCCACTCTCGTAAAGGTTGCTCTCTCAAAAGTGCATCACCCTGCTTTAGAGGTGCACCCTTGTAAAGGGAAGCTGTCTCTTGAAGGTGCAAAGATAAAGATCCACCCACATACCCTGAACAGACTGTTGGGGCAAGGTGCTGTTAGCGAGCGCCTATGCAGGCCGGCATGGCACACGAGGAGGTGGGTGGCCAACACTATGCCCTTTGTCTCCCAGTGGTGATGTTTACACACCACACCAGGTACCCATTTGAGGCTGAGTCGACCTAGTGGAGGCCCATGACCGGTTCAGATAATTGTCACTGGTGTTGGCCGTGAGGGATTAATCGAATTCGTGTCGCCGGGTTCGTAGCACAGAGGGGTACTCTCCCACAACGGTGCCTTATATCTTAAAGGGAAAGGATCTCTTCAAGGTGCAGGTGCACACTGACTTTGTGCAGCAACTAGCACGAAATCGTTTCCATCCACCGCATCCCTTTCTTCGTACGAGTCATGTGACGGGTAACAAATGACCATACGTAGCAGTGTCATTGCCAGAAGGGGCAAACTTTCAAAGGGAACTTTGCCGCTTGCCAAGGGTGCCGGTTTACATTCAAGAGTGTGCGGGCCTAGCGCCATCCACCGGGGCCACCCGGCAGCCCCCCCTTACCGCCGATCTCGACGGCTGCCCCCCTTGCCCATCGTTGCTGCTGCCCCCGCCACCACCACCCGCACAGCTGGAGCAGGCGCTGGGCGATGAGGAGGTGCGCGCGGTGGTGACGGAGTTCGCGCGGGGCAGCGTGGTGGCGCGCTACGAGCTCGCCGTCACGTCCGCCCGCCTGGTGTCCGCGGACGAGCTGCAGGGCCGGGTGGCACGCCACATTGGGCAGCATGGAGGACACCTCGGGGACCTGGCCGTCGCACCCGGGTCCTTGCATGTGGCCGGTGAGATGCGCGGGCAGTCGTTGCACATGCCCAGCACCATTATCTGTATATAAGTGTATTTTTATTTTACCAGATAAGGCGCACTGATCTATAGAGCTCTTTTTCAGAAGCGACCTGGCCACAAATGATTGCCCAATGAAGTGGCTTATTGTGTGGAAATGTATAGCAACCAAATACTCTAAACACGTGTTTCTAAATGTGGAGGGAAAAACCGGAGGACCTGTAGAAAAATCAATGCGACCACAGGGAGAACACATTCTTTGGTTCTTTCAATAAAGTTATGTAGGTAGAAAAGTAATAATAAAGTGAATAAAAAGTGAAAAATAATAAAATAAAACCCATGACGTTTCGATCGCAACACGAGCGGTCGTCATCAGGAAAAGGGGGTGAGCCTCTAAAGGCAAACTATTTATAAAGGTTTAAAATGGGCATAGCGCAAGTGTCAGCAGCATGGGCGGGCAGCTTATGTTAATGTATTGATGGACCACGGCGTCGTTGGTGGTGGGTTTCCACCGACAGGGAGAACATTCAAACTCCACATATATAGGCATCAGCGTCGGGATCGAACACACAACCTCCTATATACCAGGCGAGGTAGTTAACATCTCACCACCATGGCACCTCTAACTCTAACCCAAGCCACAACAATGTTCTAGATGTGGTATACACGAATTCTATTCATATCCCTGAACCCTAACCGCATCACAACCCTGAGTATGGTATGATAGAGTAAAATCAACACACTGATTTGGCTCTTCTTCATCATCATCATCATCGTCGTCGTCATTGTCGTGTTTATCTTTGTCCTCATTAATGTTTACAGACGGTCCGTCCTCGTCAGCGTCATCATCGTCGTCGTCCGTGTCGGGACCTGGGACCTCGTCGCGTCTTACCGTCGGCCTCTCCGTGGGTCTTCTGCTGCTGCTGGGCGTCGTGGCGGCTGTGGCGGCCGTCGTTCTGATGCGGAAGCGCCAGGAGGGGGCCCTGCTCAAGCTGCCGTTCATGTGAAGTTCACGAGACCCACGGGACGACAGCAACACTTATTATTTGATTGTTATTTATTTTAGAGGGGATACATTTCGCGTGTGCACAACATACTCGTTCCAGCCGCAACCTCTTGGTAAAATCACCCCCAAAGTGAGGGCCGACTAAGGTTACACGGGTTCACTACCCTATAACCGTAGGGATAACGGTCGGGAACAGTGCGTTAACCAAGGAAGGGGGAGAAAGGGGAATAAGGGAAGGGAGGGGTGGGGGGAGAGGACCATGTCAACACTTGAACACAACCCCAACATAAACACCGCAGGACGTGAATCCCACAGCGATCAGATCGCTGTACTCCCGGTCAATAAACCCACACACACGCATGTGGGTTTAGTGAACAAGAAACCACCAAACACACACACACAAACCCCACATCTCATAACACCACCGACCCAGTAAACATGGGCCACCGCTGGTCCAACGGTTCCAACCGCATGCCAAAGTTGGCCCAATACTACACGTTCGCAGGGAAGGCACCCGCACGGCCAGGCGGGCGACCGAACCGACGGCGTACGTTGCACGCCAGGCACCTTTCACGGCTACGGCTGGCCCCATGCTTGCCCCTGACCCCCCAACCCCTGCCTCACCCCCCCCCTTATATCTTTCCTCCACTGCTGCTGCAGGTATTTCCGCAAGAAGCCGCTGAAGGAGGACATCACCGGCCTGGACGACAAGCAGGGGGAGACACCAGCCTACAGGTGCCCCCCGCGAGCGAGCGAGCGAACAAGCGATGTGTCCCGCCGGCTTCACCTTTAATACGAGTTCCACATCGTCTGCAAACGCATCACCTTTTATTTGCCGGCCACCGCTAACGTCGGTGGCGAGTGTCATTTCAACATGTCCTTCACCAACCCGTCCTGACCAGTGTGCTATGTGTGTCCATACAACTCCCACGACCAACATGGCTTGGGGAGGCTTTCATTCAGCAGTGGACCGACAAACGGCTGTAAACGTAGCATGTAGGATTTGGCATGCATTTGTAATCCAGGTGTGGATTTTCGGGTTAGGTTCGGCCGCTTGCTGAGAAGTTATTTTCTCCATCCTCAATGACGCGCCACAACTTCTGAAGATGCTTGCAGTAGTGCGTTGGCGAAAGCTTGAGAGAAGATATGCTCAATACACAGCTTAACCCGGACCACCACACTGGGCTGTAAATGTACTTTGTATGAATTCAACTCTGTTAGGTTTGCTACTAACACTGTCCCCGCATTCCCCACGATGCCCCTTCTCTTCCCCTCCTTCCCCTCAGCAACCCGGTTGTTGGGATGGATAACAACACATACAGCATACCCGTGCAAGGCTTCTCGGAGACCTAGGCCCGGGTGCGTTCATCCTACAAGACTCTTACGCCTGTCTCTAAAGGCCTCCAAGTCACCTTTAAAAACGAAAAAAACAATTATCTTTTGGGTGTTCTTAAAAAGGGGTAACTTTCCTATAAACCCATTACCATTTTAGGCCCTGGATATGCTTTTTAAGGGCTGGCAATTTGCTTTAAACATTTTTTTATTTTATTTGGGGTGTTTGCACATTAAGGGCAGAATCGTAATGTTAGAAACACAGCGGTGTGAAGAAAATATTTACCTAATGTAAACAGTTATTTGCCAAAATAGAAGCACAGCCAAGAAACGTTCACTTGGGGGGGTCTGTGAGAGAACACACATTCTGGCAAGCGGTGATACAAATGTGTGTCTGTATGTATGTGTTTGTGTGTGTGGAAGGTGGTGGCACAGTGGTTAGTTCACTGTGTCGAGTGTGCTTACTGGCCATGGCTAACATCAGTGGCGAGTGATATCTGAACCGGCCCTGGGCCTCCTCTGAACCGACCCTGGGCCTCCCAGGGCCAGTTCGTAGTGGCCTCATGCTACACTGCTGGGCTGGACAGCACTAGGGGCAGTCACCTGCAACCAAGATGCAGGCAGTGGAGTGGGACCTGCCAGTCCCTCCTAGCCTGCCACAAAGCCGGTGAAAAAGGCCCGGCACATGGGTCACAAAGACGTGCGATGCTCTGCACCCAGGCAGCTGGGGCAGACTGCATATTGATCAAGGTTATCTATAGACCTACGACAAGGTCAGGCCCTTTCCATTTTTTCTTTATCAAACAAGAAGAAAGAAATACATTGAAATAAAGAAGAGAGAAGAATGGGCGAATGATACAAGCCTGTGCAAGGCCTTGTCCATAAAATGCGAGGAAGATCGAACCCCAATCCTCTTTCATAGGTGCAGGTGGGATGGTCTTCAAGAGAAGTCTTCTCTGCATGGCCTGGCGACATGCTGATGAAATACCTAATAGGATTGTAGGTGCTGCTAGACTATTTAAAACATGACAGTTTTTGTTGTGTGTAAAAGTTTGTAGGTGAATATGACCCGGTGGCCCAGGTCTGGCAGCTAGAGGGTTCCAGGAGCTGGAACCGCTGATTTTTTAAAATTCGAAACTGGTCTCAGCCACCTGTGATTAAAGTGGAATCTCAAGTGTTGCAAGTTGATGATCTCAGCACTGTCACACGTGATAGCCCCCCAAAAAACGATTGAATTAAATTTGGTTTTGCACTTGGTTTGGTTCAATTCCTGTTCCGAGCATTAGAATATTGGTTTGACTGCCACGTGATGAACATTACTTTGTACCACAGTGGATGGAAAAAGTGTTGCCCCCTAGGCTGAACATCAGAGGTCATTTGACGGTATCTCAGAAGTGGTTCTGTTAAGTCCACTTTCCCCGGGCCATAATTTAATATGGAGTTGCATTGCCCTACAAGAAGTTCCACATTGATTGTTTATCTCATAAAATGACCCTGCTAGCGGGATCAAATTAGGTAAGGGACATTTTTGGAGACAGAAATATCATTGCCATGTTAAATGAGTGGAATTAAAATAGATTATCACTAATCTCCACACAAGATATGGTCATATGTGCCATTTATTTTACATAATTTGGCTTTTGAGTTATTTAAAGCAATATAAATGTTGACTACCATTCGCCAAACATTTCTCTGTAGCAGGGCACGTGGGAAATTGCAGCACGACGTAGTATGTGGATTAAAAAAAGAAGTTACCTAAAGGGAGCTCGGAAAAAAAGTTCTGTGATATTTTTTGCGGCTCATTGCTCTAACACAGAGAAATGCAGCTGCTATAACTTGGCGAGTTGACAAATGGACACCTCTTCATCTCATGACAAGACGACTGGAATACAATTGGGAGAAAAATATTTTCAAAGTGCTTGTTTCGCAAAGAGTGCTTTGTTGAACGCCGAGTGCGTGTGTTGTATGCTTGGTGATGGATTAAAGGGTTACAGGAGCCTGCTAGCGAGTGCGGTAACATAGTTTGACATGTAATTCTTCTTATAGGTAGACTGAGATGCACACGTGATTATTCAATTTACAAGTGAGACGTGTATTCTGTATATTATGGATTGTATTTTTCTGCATAAGCTACCTATCACTTGTACACAATGTGCCTTGATTTGAATAAACCATCATATAAAGAAATGCATTTTTCGTGTCCCGTGGGTTATATACCGGAATAAAACGAGCAGCCACCCCTCAAAACGAAAAATCATCTCTGTAAACTGATTACGGTGGTGCAGTGGCTATTACTGGTAGGAACGAAGTTGTAAACTGAGTGTACCAGCCTGCAATAGATAATGTGTCCGTCCGTCCGTCCTTCCCCTTTCAATACTTTAACGAAGTGAAATCTCGTGCTGTTGGGTGTAAAATCAGCAATAGACAGCGCAGAGACTTGATATGTCTTATACTGGTAGGAATAAGGATTTCACCATTCCATTCCTCTACAGAGGTTAATTTGTCCGAAGAACCCTCAACGATTTTGAGGGCAAAAAGGTGGGAAGATGCTCTCAATTTGCACAATTTTACGTAACAACGTCATAAAATTGCGCAAAATTCCAATGTTCCTACCAGCCCACCCTGCAGGGACCTGTTTCTTGGACCGTTTCGTGAGCCTCACATTTATCTTACATCTTTGCAACGCTTAACTGCCTTAACTCCCTTATTGATCTGGAGCTATGACAAGTCTTATCTATAACCGGCCCTGCGCCATTGCTTCGATTGTGTAAGCCGTCCCGCGCTCGGGCGCCAGGCGTATTCGAAAATTCCCCTCGAACCTCAATATGAAGAGGTGTTATGCTTAATGTAATTTGTGAGACCGTTTTAAATAATCTAAATCTAGAGGTAAATCGTCTGAAATGACAACATCTAGAGGTAATTACCCCCCACCAAGACCTATAAGGTCGCACCCATTACACAAAAAGTGCTTGTCACAAATGAACCACAATACCTTGTCGATCTTGTCAAGGATCATAAACGATCACGCGAATGCCGGTCATCCTCGCAGCAGCGGCGGCTTTTGTCTTTAAGATGTTTTTCTTGTTCGTGTTTTTGTTTTTTTTGTTTGTTGTGGTTGCACCCGATTCAAGAGCCGAATGGTTCACAGGGCTATACCAAAATAAACTGAACTGAACTGGCCATTGAACAAAGACGGTCACCGCATTGCAGGCTTTCAGATACACTTCTGTGGCCGTCTGGAACGCTCTTCCTTCCGGTATTAGGAAGCTACTGGAGCTTATGCACTTTTAAATCTGGATTGAAAACTAACTTCTTTCGAACTGCTTTTTGTGCTGAGTTTGTTGTCCTTCCCCCACACCTTCGATGAGCACGGTTGGCGACGTATGGTGGGAAAGAAGTTAAACAAAGAGAAGGATCCCCCGTAACAGGCTGTTGGGACAAGTGCTGTTCATGAACACCTATGAAGGCCGGCACGACACACGAGGGGGTAGCCAGCACCACGCCCGGCCGCCTTTGTCTCCCCAATTGCAATGTTTTTACGCCAGGTACTCATTTGAGGCTGAGTCGACCTAGGGGAGGCCCAGGACCGGTTCAGATAATCGTCACCGGTGCTGGCCGTGAGCTGGAATCAAACCCAGGTCGCCAGGTTCAAAGCGCAGCGCGCTAACCGCTACACTACCGCTCCCCACACGCACACACGCGCACACATACGCACACACGCACACACACATAAAACCCCCCGTAACGCGATGCACGGGAATTCAAATTTTGGCGCCACCTGCCCTGACGTCACTGGGCCCCAACGGGAGGGGAGGGCGGGGGCTGCGCGCGCGCGCGCGGTGGGGGGAGGCATCACGTGACCGCGCCGCTCACGTGACCGCGAGCGCGGACAGCAGTCATGGCCGCCGTGCAGTGGTGAGCTTCTTCCGCTTCTTTTTGTAAGACCGTTGGCAACTTTTGTCACGAATGAACGAACGCTGACGAAGGAGAACGTTTAAAAAAAATACGTTGAGAATAAATTCAGAGGGGGTTCCCTCCCTCCCTCCCTTCTCTCTCCTCCACCCCGCGCGCCGGGTGGAGCCGTAAGCGACGCTGACGTTTTAAAGGGGCCGCGTGTAACCACCACCACCACCACCCACCCCGGTTTCTCTCTCGCATCATCATCATTATTATACCGCTGCTGTTGTTATTAATATTTACGAGTATCTAGAAAACGAATGAGATAAACCTTTTTTGTCGTAGTTAAGGTTAAGGCGCAATCCCTTACCCCTTCCTCGCAAAGCCTTAGCGGCGGCGTTGTCAATAAAGTTTCAAACAAACCCGGTCACGCGCGCTCACCGCTCGCGATCCGCAACAACAACAACAACGCCTTTGCCGCATTGTAAGGCGCACCCGCGGCAATTTGCTTTAAATCAATACGCGCGGGGTTGTGGGAAGAAAGAGCGCGTCTTGTAACAATATTGCGATGACGCGTCCTGACGAGAGACGCGACGTTTTAAACTCGCGAGGAGCCCGGCCTTGGCTCAACTTCGGCTGAAGTGCGAGGGACGGAAACAGTCGCCCACGCGTTGCACGACAGACCTCGAAGTGCTGCTCCTGATTTCAGCGGTATCGTCGTCGTCGGCCGTGGTCAATCCACTGCTGGATGAAGGCCTTCTCCTCCCCCCACGCCCGTCGCCATCTGTCACGATTCTGCGGTGCAATGATCCACCCGTAATCCGTCCTCCCGATTAGCACGGTTGGCTACGTACGGTGCCAAAGACGCTCAACATATGCATCGGCTCCATCTCCTCTTTGGTCGTCGAGTGCCTCGGGACTGATTACATTCCTCGGCTGCCACTCCTTCACTGTTCGCGCACCGTAAGCCGTCGTCCCTTCTATCGACGTGCCATTTGTAATAAATAAGAAACTGGTTGGAATCCGCTTGGGGTGGTTTTATGCAACGTTGTACCGTGATGGAGCACGCGCCTTCTGTGTTCAGCGCTGGCCTTGCAAATGGTGGGGTTAGGTTTGGGGGTTGAGTTAAAGGATGTGTAACAGGGATGGAACCGGGGTTTTGCAGTTGCTGTGTTCTTTACGACGTTGAATGTTCGCTTTGCCCTGTCATTCACGGAGCGCGCCCGTGAAAGACCCAATTTCCTGAAACCGGTGCTGCATGCATTAACAGTTGTGGTGCCGCAGCAGCAACAGCAGCTATGGCCTTTACGTGACCTCGTATCTCTGTGACCTCGCGACCTCCGTGACCTGCAGGCACGCACGAAACCGTGACTACGCGCGGGAGCGTGAGCGCGCAGGGCTGGAGGCGCTGCCCGTGGAGCCTGGCGAGTACCACCCGCTCAAGCCCATCACGGTGAGGCCCCACGTGGCTCCTGACCCAGAGCACCCAGGCCTGACCCAGAGCACCCAGGCCTGACCCAGAGCACCCAGGCCTGACCCAGAGCACCCAGGCCTCTCCCGGGTCTGGGCACGAGGGTCACCGGTTGGCCCTCTCTTTAGCCCTGGCTCCTGCTGTACCTGTTTTTACCGCGTGCACACATGCAAGGGAATCGTTTTTCGTGCCCCTCTGTTACAGACAGCAAATGCATTCAATCTTTCGACCTTTAGTTAGAAAGAGTTGAAAATCATTTAAATCACCGCTCGGATCACTCTAGTGAACACAATGAAACTCATGTTGGGCAGCCTGGAAAGCACAAATGCAAAAACTGTTTGTTTTTTGCCACATCTTTCAAGTGTTGTATGTAGGTTAAATTTCTTTGGCACCTTACGAAGCCAACCGTGCTTTATCGGAGTGTTGATACTGTCACGTCAAAATCAGCCTTAAAGGTATTTGCTGGAAACTAAGGGGTCACAGTAATTTTAAACACCAAAGTCCAGTTTACCAAGTCAATTGACTCTTGTTCCCCTGCCGTCCTCCCCTTGGGTCAGGTGACCGAGTCAAAGGGCAGAGCGGCAAAGGCTGGGGCACGCAAGGGCAGCACGTCTTCGCTGTCCACGTCGGCGTCCACTCCATCGTCAGCGGCGCCCGCCGGGGCTGCTGTGCTGCTGGACCCGCTGATGTCCGCCCTGGAGGGCAGCGACCCCCTCACACAGATTGCCATGGCGTCCGCTGAGCCTTTGGGGGCAGTGGGGGACCCCAACAGGGTGAGATCCAAGCCGATAGCTGTAGAACATGGTGCAAGTTTGTCAGGCAACAAAACCCTTGATGGATATTCAATCGCATTGTGGCCCAGTAGCCATACACCGCTGAAATAAGGCCCTCTCCCATGTTGTCTCAGTTATGTAAATGTTGTGGATTTGCTCTCCAACACACCGGTGTGCTGTACTAGTAACGAATTGGAATGTTCTGTTTACGTGATAAACCTTACTAATTGGCTGTGTCGGGTGGTGGCGGGTTTAACGACATTTATATTTATGCAATCTAACCCAAACAAACCTATAGTGTGGATGATATTGGTTGCGAAAGCCTACGTGTTAAAAAGTGGGGGGGGGGTGTTTGACCATACTTTTCCACACTGGTCAGAACTGTTCCAGATAATTGCCACTGATATGTAAAGCTGTTGATGGGAATTTAACTCAGGTGGCTGGGTTCATAGTGAATAATTTTAAGCGATGTGCAACTGCTCCATCACCACACGTTCAATTATGGGCCATATGAACTTTCGTTGCATTTTGTCATCATTGACTCTGGCGTTTTAGCTTGGGTAGGGTTTGACTTGGAGGTGGCCGGGTTGCCCAGGCGCTGATACAGTCTTAGAGCATTGAGCTAGCTCCACTGAGATTCTGGGTTTTGGAATCTGGGCATCCACCTATGAATGACTGCACGAAACAACCCGGAATATTTAGTTTTAATATTTTACATTTGGTATTCATGCTTTCCTTATGGCGCAAGGCTATCATGAAGACACAATCAGTTGACTAAATTAATTATTTCTCAGAAGGTAACTTTGCTAGACAACATCACTACCCTTCATGTCCAATGCTGTGCCATGCTGTATCTGTGTTGCCACCCCGCTGAGCGCTGGCAGGACGGGGAGCAGAGGAAGCGCGGTGCCAGCACGGGCTTGGGGAGCGACTTCCAGAGCTGGGCCCAGAAGCGGCCTGAGATCCTGGCACGCTACACCACAGTCGAGAAGCTCTCCCTGGTACACATCCCTCGCCCCATCAACTCACCCAGGGGAAACAGGGAGGAGAGGGAAGGAGACAGGAGAAGGGGTGAGAGAGACAGGTTTAGAGGGACTGGGACGAGGATAAATGGGGAAACGTGGGAGCGTTATTTCATTGTCACACATGCAATTGTAACGTTCAGGGTTGTGATTTTAGTCTCTTTTTAAAATTGTGTTTTGTTTCACCTTTGTTTTGTATAATTTGCACATTTCATCAAGCAGTGCATTGCCCTTTTGTCAATCCACTGCTGGATGAAGGCTTCCCCATGCTGTGTTGATTGTGAGGCTTGTTTGACTATACCTCACCACTCTGGTCAGTGCAGTATGGTAAAGGGGGACCCAGGTCTGCTTCAGACACCGCTCGCCACTGATGTTAACCCTGGACAGGGATTTGGTTTAGATAGCTGGGCTGAATAGTAAAGTGTGCTAACCACTGCACCACCACTCTGTTATATTTGAATAGAACTTGCATCTGCGTCGTTTAAGCTATTTTAACATTCTTTAAGCGATGCTTTAGCTATGTTTTATCACATTTAAAGCACTTTGAGTCACCCTGGCGTGAAGGATTACGCGATTAAACTCATGAACAGTAAACATAGGAAAATGGATTTAATTGATGCATCTACGTATTGACATATACCTAGTAGTTATGTGTGTGCTAATGTTGTGTCTTCACAGAGGCTTTCCATGGGAGCAGACAAGGATTCAGGTTAGTTTTGATTGCATCGGTTAGTCGTTTAAGGCACAGGTTCACGACGATCACGGAGCTTGGGCGACTCCAGGAAGAGTCTTAAGTAGCTCTGCCAAAAATTATGTGTCGTGCACCCACATCCCGATTCTTGTGTTTGTGTAAAGCCTGTACGCGTGTGAGCTGCTGATTTGTGTGTATGTGAGATTCTGGTCCGTATGTGATGTTTGTGTGCGTGTGTGTGTGATGCTTTGTGCGTGTGTGCAAATGCTGTTGCATACTCGCGCCCCTAGGGAGGCATGGTGCAGGAGCTGCTGTTCCCGAGAAGGTGAGGAGCCGCCTGGAGGAACTCGATGACCTGGAGGAGGTGAGGACTCACTGTGGCACCGTAAACACTGGCAACAGAACAACGGCAAGGCATATATACGTGCGTCAATGGAGAGGGGCAAACCGAGGACAGAGTATCCTGGCCAACCAGATAGTGGCACTACCCCTAATCATGCCTGACTAGCCAACCAGCCACTTGTAAGATCCCAAACTTTTACCCTAACCAACTCGCTACCAGTACTAGCCCTACCTCAATCACTAGTAATATCCCGACTCTTAACCATAACCATCGAACCACTCCAGAACTACTGAACATATGTGAAAAAGAGCTTTGTAGGTTATTGGATTCCCCTAGTATAAATACATATTCATATTCTGATTAGCCAATCAGCTACTAGTACTTTCCCTCCCACTGACCATCGCACTAAACACCTAGCAACCAGCAACTAGTATTATCCATTAACACTGACACCAACTTTCCAATCAGCCACGAGTACTATCCATTACTTCTAGCACTAGCCCTCCCACTGGCCCAACTCGTTCCCTTACCCCACCTCCGGCTCCATTTCGGACTTTTTGTTCGCTTTTCAGTTTTGCTCGTCATCACGGCCCCATGGCTGATGACGGCAGTGACGGTGCTGACGACGATGATGACGACACTGATGACGACGCCGGTGTCGATGTTTTGGCGGCGCGCAGGGGTCACAGAGGGAGATGCTGAACCTGAGCACGCAGGAATACGTGGGCCGCGTGGAGGAGCAGGGCCAGGCCCTTCGCGAGGCCTGGGCCACTGACCAGAAGGTCAAGGCCCTGAAGATCGTCATCCAGGTGAGAAGGCGATGATGATGATAGAAATACTTGAAAAGTGGTTAGTTGATAAACATCCGGAAGAAAGAGGCATTAACACACATGTACAAGTTTACGTACGATGGTCTTCCCTCGGCAATGGATGAGGCAAGGATAGAATATTTGGAGGTGCAATTCTACAGCCGCACACACTCAATGTTCCCTGGTGGACCAGATAGACAAATGAGGCGGTTCTGGAAGAATTGTGAATAGAAAACACATTCCTATTTAAACCCGACTCTTGTCCCTTTCCGCCCCCAAACTCACCCTGTCCCAGTGCTCCAAACTCCTCTCCGACACCAGCGTCATCAGCTTCTACCCCAGCAAGTTCGTCCTCATCACGGACATCCTCGACACCTTCGGTGAGCCCCGTCCTCGCCCTCGTTGCGACATCGAGGGTCCCCGTCTAGTCTCAAAAGTACCACGAGTGTGTGTGTGTGGGAGTACTCCCACTTTTTTACCGTATTCTCCGGATTATAAGATGCTTTGGAAAGTAGAGCCCACCCAAAAAACTTGTGCCTAGTGTCAATAGCGTTGTACAAATCTGCTCACTCGCACACACCTACTGGGCTATAAGATGCACCACCAACTTTTGATTTAGAGTACAGGGGGGGATATTGCATCTTACAATCCACAGAATAAGGAAATAAAATGATAATGTAATTGATCCAAGAGAGTCTCACTGAGTCTTAAGACAGTTAGCAAACTCACCTGCTGGCAGTATAGTCATCTTTAGCTTCAGCTTGCTCCATCATGCCTCTTGTAAGCTGTGGGTGTCATCGGACCTGTGGTCAATTACTATTACAGCAGCAGCAATTACATTGTGATTGCAATTGATTAAAAATGACACAATTACAATTATACTTGACGCTAGGTCTGGTCGTTGTTAACCCGTGGCGGACTGCAGGCTGGAAGAATGCGCAGCATTCATTCTTCCCCCGCACCTCCGATTAGGGGTGGTTGGCTACGTACGGTGCGAAAGAAGCTCAACATACATGCAGCATTGCTACGGGGAAAACTTGCCGTCCTATACGAGCCAATAGAAGACGCACGCACGGCGTGTGTGGAAAGCGTCCCAATCGTCGCTCACGAATTCAGGGCATCTCTGTCCGACACTGCTGCTTAAAATACGTATTCCATGGTGCTTTTTTTGTACGCGCGCGCGTGTGTCTGGTCGCAGGCCGCCTGGTGCACGACCGCATTTGGGCCATGTGCAACGAGGGTCGACCGCCAGGTGCCCCTGCCCTCTCTCCAGGTGAGACGAGCTAGCTCCGTCGGTCCTCGTCATTTTCAAATCGTGTCTTATCGTGCGGCATCGGTCCACGTGAGAGCCGGCGGAGTGGTCGTTTACGATTTTTATATCTCACGGTTTCAGAGCACAGGCCCCAAAGGACTTCAACACATCAAGCTGCCAGCAAGAAACAGGGCTGCTGACGTTGTAATAGATGCGAGTTGAGCTATTTCTTGAAATGAAGAAGGGTTACGAGAACTTGGGGAAAGTTTGATGATGGCAGGGAATTACCAGGGTGGAGCTGTGCGAGGGAAGAAGCCGAAGGAGAAGTGTCGTGACCTGCAGTGTGCTGGTTGAACATAGTATGGACGATACGGAAACAGTCTGGTAGGCCGAGTCCTCACCATGGCACGAGGAATCAACGTAACCATAGTAGTAGTGATAGAGGAGTGATCAAATACTAAACTATTGGTCTATGTTTCAGTTTACCAGGTAAGGTCCACTGAGCTATGTAGCTCTTTTTCAGAAGCGACCTGGTTACACATGATATCCCAACGAAGTGGCTTATCCTGTGGAAATGTATAGCAGCCAATTACTCGAAATGCATGTCGAGGGAAAAACTGGAGGACGCGGAAAACAATCCACGCGCACCACGGGAAGAGAGACATGCAGACTCCAAATATACAGCAGGTGTCAGGGTCAGGATCGAACCCACGACCTCCTGTATACGGGGCGAGATAGTTAACATAAAGAGGCAACTGGCCGCCGGTGATCGAGTGACTGGAGTGAACCGTGCGGTCTTGCCTCGCGTGTGCTGTGGCGTCGGGTAGACTCCATACGCCCGGAGTTGGTCCCGGACTCCGCACGTGAGACCTGCCTCAACTGGTTCTACAAGATCGCCTCCATCCGCGAGCTGGTGCCGCGGCTGTATCCTTAACGGCGAGATGCGGCGCACAGAAAATCCGCCTTTCTCTCCCTGCACCTTGCCCGAGTCATTGTCGCCGACGGCCAACGCACGCGTAACGCAACCACACACGCGTCTACATTGTCGACCGCGATCCCTGACACCTGACCGTACCGCAGCTACGTGGAGGCGGCCATACTGAGGTGCAGCCGCTTCGTCAAAGCGAGGTAATCGGCCGCGTGGCTGCGCGATGCAGGGCTGCGGGCGCGCGCCCTGCGCCGCGTGTTTACGTGTACTCGGGGTGGCTAAAGGCGTTTGGTTGTCTTAACTTCGTGCTGCGTTGTCCCCTGTAATCGAGTTGCTGTGCCTTGCGACGTACACCACATGAGTTTCCGGACTCACTTCTTTACAACTGCTTTTGTGTTTAGTTTGCTGTCCTTCGCCGCACCTCCGATTGGCATGGTTGGCTACGTACGGTACAAAAGAAGTTCAACGTAAATACTTACATTCCGGTGTCCCACATGTTACTGGCATCCTGCGTGTTTACGCAATACCCCATGCGTTCACGTCACGCCTTCTGTGTCCACGCCGTCTCTGCGTTCACGTCGTATCACGTGTGTTTTCGTCGTACGCTTCCACGTGCTCGCGTCACTGCTGGCGTTCACGTTGTGCCTTGTGCGTTCACGTCATGCTCCCCGTGCTGACGTAATCTGCGTTGTGTTCACACCGCATCCCGTGCGTTCATGACGTGCGTGCAGTGGTTTCGAGGAGGTGCTCCCACGGCTGGCGGCCATGCTGCGCGGCGTGGGCGACCCTCTCGTCGCCATGTTTGCACGCGCGTACATTTGCCGGGTGAGCCACTCGGCCTGCACCTGCACCTGCACTCCTGTACCCCCCACCCCCCGCAGCTCCCCCCCACCTCGGGAGCACTGAGACAGTGACATCAGAGCCATAGACGGAGGTGGCAGCAGAGGGGTTCTATTAGGCTCGTAATCATTTACCCTCCCTGTGATTCGATCAATTGTCACGATTAGTGACCACGATTCCTTTTAGGAATCGAATTTTTTTTATTCCACGTGTTAACACCCCATTTGTATTCCTTGCTTTTTTCCCCATCTCGTTTGTATTATTTTTTTCCCCCCGCTCCATTAGCCTAAGCTTAAAATTAGAAATCACTTTGCGTGTCATTTGGACGATTCTTAAATAGTTGATGCTGACGTTCACGATTCTAATGCACGCATCAGCGTGAGAATCAAATTTCAATCGACGCATCGTCGCAAACCTGCTTCCTCGACACTTCACACGATGACCTTTGTTACTGCAAGCCGACGAATCGCTTAGAACCGCTGTGGTGCTTGTTACTGTGCCGCTGCGTTGTGGCGGCCCGTGCTGTGGCGCAGGTGGGCGTGGAGGGGGCGCCGCACCTACGTGAGCTGCTCACTTGCAACTTCTTCGACTTCCTGCTCACCTTCAAGCAGGTGCGAGGGTGTGAGCGGCCGTGGCATCTGCGAGCTGGCGGCTGCCACTGGGTGGAGAGTTGTGGGGTCATGGGCTTTGGTAAAAAGTGCTGAGGTGATGCCGCTGATGTCCTGGGATCCAATGCGGGCAGCTGCTCGTTATTGAATGGGTTCTCAAGTGAAGTAAGTTGATGGTCTCGGCCCTGTCCCAAGTGATAGCCCAAATGAAATAGGTTGTTTTGAATTTGATATTGCACTTAATTTGGTTCAATTCCTGCTCCCGATTATTACAATTCTGGTCATGTGATTAATATATTGCCCTCCACTGTGTACGTCAGAGGTCATTTGCCGGTATCTCAAAAGTAGTTCTGTTCAGTCTGATTCTGCGGGCCATAAATTAGCATGGGGTTGTACTGCTCTACAAGAGTTCTAAATTGATTGTGTGTTTGGATTTAAAGCTTTCGTGACTGCAGGGATTCATATTCTTGGTTCTTTTCTTATTTCCCTTCTACTTGACTTTCCCGAAAGAACCAATAATTTGATTGTGTGTCTCATAAAAATGAGACTGCTAGTGGGATCACATTATGTGAGGAAAATTTTTGAAGACAAAATTACGTTGAAGCATGTGAGCTAATGCCCAGGCCCTGTTTTCTTCCGTACACTCTTACTGGCATGCTCACTCGCTCGCTCGCACCTACATACATATGCTCTACACACTTGCACGCTCATGCACTCACACACTCATACACGTACGTTCATACACACACACACCCTCGCATGCTCACGTACATACATACACGCTCACACGCACATATGCATACACGTACACACACGCGTGTGCACATGCACCCCCATGCACACGCAACCACGCGCTCACAAACACATGTGCGCGTACACTTCCTGTCGCACCCCTGTCTCTTTACAGCTGCAAAGTAACAGCGTACAGAACCTCCTGGCCACGCAGGGCCTGGACATGCCCATGTACCTCACCCTGTACTCACCTGCTGTCGACTGGGTGCTGCAGTGCCTGGCCTACCGAGCGCCAGAGGTCAGTGGGCCGACCTCTACCTTGGGTCACACCGCCAGGGTCATGCTGGGTCACCATTGGGCAGGGGGTGCGACTTGTTTGGTTGACGGGGTGTTGTTCTATTTATCGCCCTCAGGCTGTGCTCGTGGAGATGATGGAGAGATGCAGAAAAGTTGGAAACAGGTCATGACACCTCCCCCCCCCCCCTGCCCCCCCCCCCGATTGCTCTGATTGATCGTTGCCCGTTGATATTGCATTGCACTTATTGATCGTGAGCTAAGTAAGTGTCCTGCTGCGTGAACTGTACCGGAAGCTTAAGTGCGGCGTTCATTTTGCACGCCCCTCCTTCCTTTTCCCGTTCCCACAATCCCCCTCTTGTTGCGAGCAGTGGGCTGCTGCTCAACTCCATCATGTCGGCGTTCCGAGCAGAGTTCATCGCCGCTCGCACGACCGCCCTCATCCCCATGATCAAGGAATGTGACGATTCTGGCTTCCCTAAGGTGCCACACCGCACCCTCCCCTCCCCTGATTCCCCCAACCCCACTGAATCCACCCCACCGCCACCGTCCAATCTGCACATGTTTATGTACGTATGTACGTTTAATTTATTTCGCATCGTACGTGGCCAACTGTGCCAATGGGAGGTGCACACAGACACAGAATTGTGACAATATACTTTATGTACCCCTGAATAGATTCGTCATCGTCGTCATCATCATCGGCACCATCTCTCGGTCCGTAACAGAAAAAGGCGCAGCCCTGCAATTGCTTGCTCACGCCACTGCTGGCAGAAAGGCTTCCTCTAGAGGGAGTACCAGAGAGCTCCTAAAGAGAGAGGAAAATGTTTAACCTCCACTCCTACCCTCGCCAGACCTATTGAATGAGGTATGAGTACCCACACTTTACCCCAGGAAATATCCCCCTCGAGTGCTAAGCAATTGGAGACATCCGTCGCAGGGACACAACTGCAATATGTATACCGAGGGCAGTTATTGACGGTGGACCGGGATCGAAATGATAGATAAGCAAGCGGACGAAAGCAGTTTTGAGTGCTGTTTGGAAGCTTGCTTGACAACACTGAGGCAGCGCGGTCAGGATTTGATTGCGTTATGGCTTCCCACGCAGAGCCCTTTTCCACTGTGCAACCGACCCGTGCCGGAGCCGTTCCGAGCCGGCACAGCGCGGTCCAGCAAGCTCCAGAACGCGAGCGCTTGCCGCTGACGTCACGCAAAAATGAACGGGGGTCGATTAATCCCCTCTCTCGCGGCCCTGCTGGGCCCTGAGCCAGATTAAGATTTTAGGCCAGCGTATAGCTTTTGGTCCTGGCTCGGATCCGCAAAATAGCGAGAGGAACGGGTTGGGGGAGGGAGTGGGGCGGGAGGGTAAGGGGGTGGTGGGTGGAGGGGGTTATGCGTGTTCCCTTGCTTCTCGTGTTGGGTTGCTGGCAGCATCTTTTGTTCCGGTCGCTGGGGCGAAGCCTGGCGTCAGCCGACCCCCCCGAGTCGGACCGCCTGCACGTGCTCAACGAGGCGTGGAAAGTCATCACGAAGCTGCGCAGCCCCCAGGTTCGACGCTAACGTGGCACTGACATGCTCGTGTGTTGAGGAAATTTGCAACGTGATAATGATGATTTAACAGGGTGTGTTATCGTTGCACAGATTTCAGCCGTTGTGCTGTTGAGGTCTCTGATGTGTTTTTGGGTTGACACTTGAGTCATGTTTGGAGTTTTCCTCCCGGAGTATTTGGCTGCTATAAATATCGACGAGATAAGCCACTTTGTTGTGCTGCCATTTACTGCCAGGTCGCTTCTGAAAACAAGCTGTATAGCTCAGTGGGCCTGATCAGGTTATAAAAAAATATAGCATGAGTGAGGAATGATGGTGACCTACACCCCCATTGATTGTAGCCACCTATGAGCTGCCTTCTATGACCTCTTGTCCCTAGTGTTGGCTAAATATTAACCTTATTACGTGACTTTAATGCGCGAGTGAATCATGACGATGTAATACTTGGGAAGGAGTGATTTGAGGGCATGTGCCAGATGAGCTCACGAACAACATTGGGTTCATGTGACGCCTGCAGCCACTAGGGGCGCTGCATTCACCACATGGTTAATGAAGGAATCGATCTTGAATGGAATTGTCCCCAATCAGTGACAGCTCATATAATCGTGAAGGGGCCGTAGCATTATATACCCATTTACAACATTATTCACTTTCACGTAAAAAAACGTTTTATTTTACCAGGTAAGGCCCACTGAGCTATATAGCTTTTTTTCAGAAGCGTCCTGGCCTCAAAAGATCACTCAACAAAGTGGCTTGTGGTGTGGAAATTTATTGACATTGCTGTAATTATACAAGTTGAATGGCAACGTCCGCCGTGAAATACAATTCGAAATGCCGTCGTGGTCTATGAAATTCTGCGATCCACATCGTCGACCTGTGCTGCCCCAAACCCCCCCCTCCCCCACCTGCCACCACCCCCCCCCCCTCACCCCCTACTCCCCCTCACCACGATGCGCTCGCAGGATTACATCGGTTGCGCCGAGGCGTGGATGGAATACACCTGCCGTCACTTCACGGTGCGTTTCCTCTCCACGCACACCACCGCACGTGTCACCGTGGTGGCTCGCAGTTCACCGGGCTGCATGTGTGCGTGTTTTGCTGGTGGAGCGGTCACGCAGTGGTTTAGCGCGCTGCGCTATGAACCCAGTGACCTGGGTTCGATTCCCGCTCACGGCCAAGATTGGTGAAGAATATCCGAACCAGTTCTGTGCCTCCCCTTTGTCGACTCGGCCTTAAACGAGCACCTGGTGCGATGTGTTAACATCACCAGGCGTGGTACTGGACACACACCCCTCTCATGTGCCATGCTGGCCTTCATAGATGCCCGCCAACAGCACTCGCACCAGCAGTCTGTACAAGTTTACGGAGGATCTTTGTCTTTACTCTTTGTTTTTTTCGGCAAAGTCACGCCTCTCTCTGTGTCCCCTGATGTGTCTGTGTTAATTCTGTACCTGATGATGATTGCGTGTGTTGCAATCGAAACGTCGTATGCTATTATATATTTTAATTTTTTATTATTTCCACGTGACTTTACCGAAAAAACCAAAGAGTAATTCCTGCAGTCACGAAAGCACCTAATCAAGTTCGATCTTTGTCTTTGTTCCTCAGCAACGCGAAGTAAACACCGTTTTGGCCGACATTATCAAGCACATGACTCCTGACCGCGCGTTTGAGGAGGCTTACCCACAGGTAATGCATGCAGGCGCGCACCCCCCGCACACCCCGCAAATAATAATCGGACAACAAAAAGATTCCATCAGCCGCCGATCACTACTGGCCGGTGGTGACTTCTCCGCCGACCGGCGGTGACGTCTCTGCAGGCCGGTGGAGTCGTCATCACCGGCCGGCGGAGACGTCTCCACTGACCGGTGATGAGGTCTTCCACTGGTCACCTATTCTCCTATGTTGCGCCCATGGTCTGTAACTCCCTTCCCCCAGCCACATGTGCTTTTGACTCCCCTACCCCTATTCAACTGCAGTCTGAAAAACCATCGTTTTCTCTGCCTATGCCTCTGTTATTTTTTTCAACGCGGCGGTCGGATTTGGACACCCAGCTACATCCTTCGTTTTATTGTATTGAGGAATTGAAACTGATTCGATTGAAGACTGCATGAGGGTTAACTTCGCGTGTCTCATGGTGCAGTTGCAGTCCATCGTGTCCAGGGTCTTGAAATATTTCCAGGACTTCTCCACGCTGTTCGCCATGGTGAGTGAGTGCGCGGCGTCCTCCAAGCGGCATCAGTCGCCCAGGTCGGTGAAACGGAGAGGGACTCTTCTTGAACGTTGGCCAAATTGTGTACCTTAAAGGTAAAGGCGCAGGCCTGCAATTATTTGCTCACGCCACTGCTGGCAGGAGGGCCTCCACTCGAGCGAGCACTAGAGATCGTCTAGAGCTGGGGTGAGGAACCTTTTGTCTGCCAAGGCCCATTTGGACATTAATAACATCATTCGCGGGCCATACAAAAGTATCAGCTTAAAGATGAGCCTGTTATATTTGGTCAAACATTTAATTAACTCACCCCTAATGTGATGGCTGAAACTGACAAATAATATTGGGAGCCTTATACAGCCCACGGGCCGGACATTCCCCACCCCTGGTCTAGAGGGTATTTTGGCGTGCTCTTCCATTTTGGCCAAGACATCTTGGAAGAGGTGGGAGTACCCACACTTTACCCTACCAACCACACATGACCTGCTGCTGATCGACTGACTCTGGTGTACTGATGCATACAATATTAGAGCTTTTAGTTTTCTTAGAGTCTTCTTCGGCATCTCACCGAGCTGTTGGCAAGGAAACGGGAGCTGCCTTACAATGGTTAGTTGCAAAGATTCCTTTTCTGACTGCGTCCCTGCTTCATCCCCAGGACAAGTTTCTGCCATTTCTGGACATGTTCCAAAAGGAGCTTGTCAAGGTGGAGGTGTGCAAGATGGTAACGGAGGCCTTTATCAAGTGAGTAGCTTCAAGGCCTACTCACCCCTCCCTGTGTCCATTCACCCCTCGTTCAGTCTACTCAAGCCCACGGCAGTGTCGGACGTAACCGAGCTTGCGTTGCGGTGTGATGTGATGCTTCGGCAATGCACAGGCATCAGCGGGAGGAGACGCGGGACCCCGTGATCGTGAATGCCTTGATGAGCGTGTGCAAGACCATGCACGACTCTGTCAAGTAAGCACCCCACACCTACCTCCTCGTCGTGCCATTCTGATTGGCACCTCTTCACCACCGAAGCCTGCTCCCATTTGGAGCCGAGGGCACTGTCCAGGGTAGCGTGGTTACTCGTGAACGTCATCGTCGTCAGCAAACGTCGTCGTTGTCAACAGGTGGTTATTAGTTGCTGGTCTCTTCTACCGCCACTGTTCGGTTGTCGTGGGATCGTTCGGCATCATCCAGAATTAACGCGAGCGGGAGGATGAGGACAAACAGTTGAGCAACTTCTGAAACGCCGCCTGCGATCGCCGTTTTCCCGTGTTCGCGACGGCCGTGGTGGTTGTGGTGGCTTGGGCTGACCGACGCCGGCACTCCTCCGCACATGACGAGGTGGTCTCCGGTCTCTCGTTGCAGCGCGCTCTCCCTGGACGATGAGAGGAGAGTCATCTCGGCGTTCACTTGCGGCTTCATCCGCATGGTTGGCACCACACCCACTCGCTCCTACGGGCGACCGTGCTGTTCTTTGCTCGTTCGCTTATCGAGGATAGCCGAGCCACCCCTTGCGTGATGTCGCGCACGCAGTGCTCAATCACTGACAATTAAAAAGGGCAATTTTATTAAAATTTCTTAAGCGTAATTTTAGTCGTGTCATGTCATATGACGCATGTTAGGAAGTCTTGACGAACGTGCATTGTGGAACGGCTCGCAGGAGCAGATATCCCAACTACCACTGAGATCTGTTCAAGTTACCTTTTTTATTGGCTCTTTCGGAACGCCCTTTCTTACACGCACTGCAAACAATACGGTTAATTCTCAGAGCTGGAATTTAGCCGTAATAAATTTAAAGCTTAAATTGTGTGTGATGGTCTGTTATGTTGTCATTGGTGACTGGGCTGAGACCATCAAGTTCCTTTACTTGAGAACCTGACTCAGTCATGGGTGTCTGGGACTCAGAAGTTCCCGGTGGAATCAACTCATTGCTTAGACATTTGAGCCACACGATCGCCTCTTGCTGTTTGTTGTTATATAGATCTCATTTGGCCGGGACTTTGAGCAGCAGCTGAGCTTCTACGTGGAGGCACGTGCCACCTTCACCAACCTGGAGCCAGTGCTCGTCGCGCTCATGCATGTGAGGACCCAGCCACCCCTGCTCACCTCGCAAGCCCGTCGGTGTCACTAACCTGCGTCAGTGGGTCCGTGTCACCAGCTTGTACTAGCCCGTCAGCGTTGTGCGCGAGTCTCTGCGTTTCAGCCTTTCTCTCCACACGCCTATGCTCCTGTGTGTGTACGTGTAAGGGTTTGAGAGTGTATGTGTCCGCGTGTTGGCTGGATGTGCGAGTACGTGTGTGTTGTGTCTCTTTGGACGTGTATTTACACATGCGTATGTGAGTGTATGCATACGCGTATAATGATGATGTGTGTGTGTGTGTGCGTGTATATGTATGTGCGTGGCCTGGCACAAGCGCCGTGGTCACATCGCCACAACACTTGGTTGTTGTATGCGCGTGCGTGTATGATTGTGCCGGGCCCTGTGGCCACGCCGAGTCTCCCAGCCGCTGTCCGTTGTCTCGGCAGAGTGTGAACCGCCTGGCCATGGAGACGTGCCGTCTGGTGCGGGGAAACCACACGCGCAAAACGGCGGCGTTCGTGCGGGTGAGGGTCCCCCGCACTGAACCGTTCCCCTATCCATCACAGGGTTAAAGCCTCCGCAAACTAAACAACGTGCCCCTCCAGTCCCGGGTTGTCTTAATCATCCCTCCTCGCCCCTTCGGGGTAAATCCAGATTTATGGTTCCATCCCTACTTTGTTTTCCTATCTCAAGTTTCGTTCGTTGGTCGGCGGTCGTTCCGAGCGAGCAACATGAAACACCTCCTCTCGCCGAGTGGAGGAAAGCCCGACAGAAACGCGGCATGGTATTAAAAATGTTTCTTTTTTACCAATTTTTGTCAACTTGCGCCATGATCCTCATGTAACGAGGCGACATGTCCTTTGTAACTTTCAAAGTACAGTGCATTGCCCTGTGTGAGAGAGCAGCCTGTGGAAGGAGATATCACAGAATTACATTACTAGGGGGTTCACTTTCCTTTGTGCCTTTTTACACACACAAAAATTCATCGTATAACAGTCAAAACATATATTTTTTTCATTGTGAGAGATGAAATTTAACCCAATTTAGTGTTTTTTTTGTGCATTCATTGATGACCAGACTGAGACCATCAACACCTTCGATTAGCACGGTGTGAAATGAATTAAATATCCATAAACTCACCACACTTGACAACCCAGTTTAATCGCGGGCAGCTGAAACCCAGAGTCAAACCCCAGCTTCTCTGGGGAAGCGGCTCGGTGCCTCTGACCCCAGAACTGCCTGGTCACGTCCCACGGTGGCAGAGAGGAAGTTGGAACCGGCCGCCATCACGAGCGCAATGTTTTCCAGAATCCCGGCCTCGGTTGCGGTCGGCGAGGACGGTTTAAACGGGACGGGGACGCGACGAGCCGCGTATTCTAACGGCCCGTGCAGAACCTCGATGCGATTGGCCGGAACGGGGCCGGCTGAACCGCGTCTGTGGTCGAGTAATGAACTCTCCCAGGGCATCTGTTAGCGGGTTTGGCTTTTCGTGCCGGCCGCGGGCCCTAACATGATAATAATAATAATATACATGCATTGAGCATCATGAGCTGAAAATAAACAAAAGGTGTAAATCGAAGGACTATGGAGATTGCATTGGACAGAAGAAGCAGTCGAGGCAGATGGAAGGATATGGCGACTCGAGAAGAGGGCGCATACTAGAAGGGTATTGAGGAAGAAAAGTTGGTCAGCCCGAAGCCCCATGCCTCAATGGGACCTTTGTCTTCAAAGAAGAGACTGAAGTGCGACGTTCTGATGCTGTTGCTGCTGGTGCTGTGGGTGTGCAGGCATGCGCCGCCTACTGCTTCATCACGATCCCGTCGCTAACCAGCGTGTTCGCGCAGCTCATCCTCTACCTGCTGTCGGGACAGGTGGCGCTCGCCAATCAGTGCCTCTCGCAAGGTGGGCACCAGCGCCCCTTTGTGCACATATTAATGTTGAACTTCTTTCACCTTGCTCCGCCGCCCTGCCTCCTCACCCCTTCCCCGATTGGCCTCCCCAATCGCAGTTGTCTCATGTCGTTTTGTTTATTTTTGTTAAATTTACATCCGTTAGAGCTTCACAAATGATGCACGTGCGCGCGTTAGTCTGCGGGGGGCTCACACGTGTGTGCGCGTGTTTACATGTTCACGCGTGCGCTTTGTGCATGTGTTTGCACGTGCGTGCATGCGTGTGTTGGCACGCGTACGTGCGCGTGCAGCGGACGGGTTTTTCAAGGCGGCGATCGCGCTGCTGGTGGAGGTGCCGCGCTCGGTGATGGTGGACGGGAAGGCACGCCCCACGGAGCCCATGCTGCTTGAGTTCCTCTCCTCCTTCCTGTCCACGCTGCTCGTCGTGCCCGTGAGTGACTGCGGCCGTCACTCTCGCTCTGCATCTTCCTGGGTGTGCGTGTGTGAGTGGGGACTCGAGTTCGATTCCCGCTCACAGCCAACACTGGCGACGGTTATCTAAACCGGTCATGGGCCTCCCCTAGGTCGACTCGGCCTCAATTGAGTACCTGGTACGGTGTGTAAACATCGCCACTGGGGAGACAACGGCGGCCCGGCATGGTGCTGGCCACCCACCCCCTCGTGTGCCGTTCCGGCCTTCATAGGTGCTCGCTAACGGCACTCGCCCCAACAGTCTGTTAAGGCTATTCGGGGGATCTTTCTTTTGTGGGGACCAGTGGTGGAGCGGTTAGCGCACCGCTCTACAAATGCTCTCCAAACGCGGTGAAGGGAGTTTGCTTGCCGATCACAGTCAACATCACTGTCGAGTGAAAACCGAACCGGGCCTGGCTCCTTCTCCAGTACCTGTTGTGTTGTGCATACATTGCATCAGGAAGATAAACGCGGACATGCGTGTTAATTTCTCTTGGATCATAACGGCTGGCAAAGGTTACTTGTTAACATTTTGAGTTTAGGGGCAGAGGAGGGTGGTCCTTGCATCTTCAGCTAGCCTTTTCCTTTATCGTGTTGCTGACCACATCACCCCTTTGTGCACCATTCCGGCCTTAATAGGTGCTCGCCAACAGCACTTGCCCCAACAGCGTACAAGGGTACACGCGCCGTCTTTGCCTGTGCGTGCGCGTGCTCTTCAGGATCACCCCGAGCACAGCGTACTGTACCTGGTTCGGGGGCTGCTCAACGTGCTGCAGGACTACACCTGGGAGGAGGGCAGCGATGGGCGCGCACGTGCCTACCTCTCTGTCATGCACCTGCTGGCCGCCGCCAGCCAGGAGACATACCTGTACTCCATCAGCAAGGGTGCCTGCCAGCACCCACACAACAACACCTGCCTGCCCCTCGCCAGGCTAGGTGGCACGTTGAGGAGGGGTCATGTACAGCGGTGGAGGCTCCGCTGGCAGGAGGTCACGAGACAGGCCCACGTGTAATGGTTGTAATTGACCAGAGCAGGGGTCACCAAACTACGGCCCGCGGGCCGGATGCGGCCCGCGACGTCAGTCCATCAGGCCCGCCGACGGTACTTGAATTTGGTTGATAAAACGTATGGAACACGAGACATTGTGATACATTTTAAATTTAAATATTATGTTTAGAATACTAGGAGATTTTCACACGTGCGGAGACCTCCTTACTGCTATGTGCCTTGAATTTACTATTTAAAATTTTTAATTATTGTATCTAAATTTTCTTGTTTATGGTAATGTTTGCTTATTTCGCGCCATCCCAAGTCCTTCCCCGGCTCGTGGTAGCTCCGCCTACACTCTGACGTTACCATGGTTTCCATGGCAACACACAAATACGCATCTTTCCCGCCCCCAAGTATTGAACAGAATGTTTATGCGGCCCACGATCGTCATTCTATCAGTTATCCGGCCCGTTGTGAAAAAAGTTTGGTGACCCCTGAACCAGAGTGACTGGCCGGCAGATACGTACTCTGTGCTAGCTCTCTGTGTTTTAGCCCACCCCCGATGCCCTGTTCGTTGTTGTCAGTGTGACTTCTCTGCCTGCCACTGTTGATGGAACCACTTCAGCGTCTTTCATTATCCCCCTTCTCAAACACCAGCATTGACACCGCTGGTAGGCGCGCAGCGATTTATTCCCACAGCGATTTATTTACCCCCAGCGATTTATTTACCCGCAGCGATTTGATCGGTTGTCATCATAAGTGTTTGCGATGGAAGGATAAATTTGATTTTGTTTACTGTGAGCATATGAATTGATTTAAATCGGTGAATCAATGCGTAATTACATGCCCTAGGACTGATACTCGTCGTCAGCTCCAGGTCCACACATCTCACATCTGCCCATCTCCCAAGCCTGTGTCTGGCACATAAAAAAACAAAGATCCCTCGTATAGACTGTTGGGACAAGTGCTGTTAGCGAGCACCCACAAAGGCCAGCACGATAGGGTGACGTGGCTGGTTACCACACCCGGCCGTACCTTTTGTCTCCCCCGTGCGAATGTTTACACGCACGTACGCCCACGCACGCACGCTCCACCTCCATACTCCTGGCCACCTCGGGTGATGTTATTGCATTCCCTGTGTTCGCAATGGCAGTGGATTCGAATGACAGCCTCTATGGGAGCGACCCCAAGTTCCTGGGGGAGGTGGACCGGCTCTGCGAGACGATCCTGGGGCAGGTGTTGGACCAGCTGAAACTGCTGGGCAAGCAGGAGGTGAGTGGGATGTTTGAATTTTTTTTCCCCCTCAACATTTACCCAGGAAGACTGGGTGCCACGGTGGCGAGATGTTAACTACCTCGCCTGGTATATAGAATGTCTTGGGTTCAATCCCGACCCTCGACGCCTGTATATTTGGAGTTTGCATGTTCTCACCGTGGATTTTCTCCGGGTCCTCCGGTTTTTCCTCCCACCTTTAGAAACATGCGTTTAGAATATTCAGCTGCTATAAATTTCCACATGATAAGCCACTTCATTGAGCTCTCATTTTTGTTGCCAGGTCGCTTCTAAAAAATAATTATATAGCTCAGTTGGCATTACCTGGTAAAATAAAAAGTTTATTGGTTTATAGTTTGTTTTTTCAGGAGGGAACTGCTTGCTAAGATTCGCAGTTGGGGGTAACTTTTCTTTGTTTTTTCCAATAGAGTAATTTTTCAAATTTGGACCAGTGTCGGCACACATGGCCTGCTATTTTTTCGGTATTTCACAATCTTTTCACGCCCACTGCGAAGCAGACTGAGTGCGTATTTATACGATTCATACATGCGCCGCATTAACCAGGGTGAGCGAGGGGCTTGAACCGCGAACCACTAACAGAGCCAGAGTTCAGTGATCAATGTAATTGTGTTCATACATGTGCACATGCGTGTGTGCGGGGCAGTGTAGCGGTTAGCGCGCTGCGCTATGAACCCGGCGACCCGGGTTTGATTCCCGCTCACGGCCAACACCAGTGACTATTATCTGAACCGGTCCTGGGCCTCCCCTTGAGTGCCTGGTGCCGTGTTTACACGTCGCCACTGGGGAGACAAAGGAGGTCGGGCGTAGTGCTGCACACCCCACCTCCTGGTGTGCCGTGCCGGCCTTCATAGGTGCCCGCTAACAGCACTTGCCCCAAAAAGTCTGTTGAGGCTACACGGGGGATCTTTGTCTTGTGCGCTGCAGCAATACAAGCGGCAGAGCGTGCTCGCGCTGGCGCTGCTGGATACGCTGCTGCTGCAGGCCGACCTGCGCAACAACAAGCTCAACCAGCTCGCCGTCAGCCTGTGGGGGCTGGCGCAGAAGCACGGCCAAGCTGACTCGCGTGCCCTGGTGAGTTTGGGCACGAATGGAAGGTGGGGGGGGGGGGGGGCAGGCAGTTTGCTGCTTAGATCCACGAACGTGCATTTGTTGGACAAATATGTATGTATGTATGCATGCGTGTTGAACTTCTTTCGCACCGTACGTAGCCAACCGTCCTAATTGGAGATGCAGGAATGTTTTAGTCATGTTTGCCCCCCTGTCGACCCCCCCCCCCCCACCGCTCCCTCCAGCAATTTGCTATATAACCACGATTCATGGGTCACGATTTCATTGAGGGATCTTTTACTGTTTGATCCCCATTTGTCTCGTGTGCACTTTTATTCGTCCTATAACTCTGCGTGCAGCAGGAACAGCGGCAGTGTACAATTTGCGCATCATTTACACGAATTATACACGATGCTCACGCGCACAATTTCTATCCCCGGCCAGCGACGACAAGCGACAGCCACGGTGACGGGCATGCTGCGTGTGCGCGTGCGTCCACGTGCGCGTGTGTCCGTGTGCGCGTGTGTCCGTACGCGCGTGCGTCCACGTGCGCGTGCGTCCACGTGCGCGTGCGTCCACGTGCGCGTGTGTCCACGTGCGCGTGTGTCCACGTGCGCGTGTGTCCACGTGCGCGTGTGTCCGTGCGCGTGTGCGCAGGCGCGGGTGCTGGAGCTGGTGCGGCGGCAGAGCGCGCGCCCCGAGTTGGCTCACTTTGCCGAGCTGGCGCTGCGGATGTCCCCGCAGGGCCGGCCTTGAGGGGGAACTGCCCGGCGGGCCCAAACCCCACCCCCCCCCCCCCCCGAGGTCGTTGATCGAGATGCTTTTCTCACGACGCTGACGAGACGGATCATTCACACGTCCACGCGTGCGCACTTTTAATTTTTGCCGCCACTCGCCAGAGGCTGCGCTCCGAACATTTTCATTTCCGATCGCTGCAGCCCCCGCGGGGCGTTTTTGCGGAAAGGAGGGAATTTAAGGCTGGAAGGTCCGTTCTGCGGAACTGGCCTTCGCAGCGAAGCGGTTGGTTTTCCCCCGCGGGTCGAGTCGTGGAGAGATGGGAGCACAGCGCCCCGAGCCGTCCGTCCGTCCGTCCACTCTTTTGACATCGTTTGCACGCATAAATCAAGCTCAGTGTACGATTTTGATTTAATTAAAGCACAAGAGTAATAACACCGGTGCACATCCACGTGAATAAAAACATTTCTTCATCGTTCCCTCAAGCGAGCAAGAACATTGTGCCATGAAAATAAACGGTGGCTTTTTATTCACAAACCATCTTATTAATCGTCTTGAGTGGCTTCACTGTCAGGATTAGAGCCAGGATTATAAGTCGGGCCTTAATTATAACCCTGTTTGGTGTCGATGAGAGTTGTTGAGCTATTATTGCTATATCCATAATTGGTTTCAAAATGTATTTATCGATTACAAAGAAATGCAATTAGATAATCGAATCAAGTGCTATTTAGTAACATGCACCGACTGGCACACGCTAATGTTCAAACTGCACCCACATACACGGCTAGTTTTTTTTTGTCACATTCGATCATTACCAGCCGTGATCAATCCACTGTTGGATAAAGGCCTTCCAAAGCCATCTCTTACGTTGTAAAAATTCACCTATCACCTGCACAGGAGCCGACTTCATCACTCCACCTCTGCAGTAGGCGTCCTCTTGGATGCGTTTGCTCCCTTGACTGCCACTCCGTGGTCATTCTCGACCATTGGCCATCATCTCACCAGTGACGTCTCCTGCCAAACGCCACTCATTAACAGTATGCCTCTTCAATGTGTTTAATCCATGTGTGTTCCTCGCCATGCTTCTTTGCACACTAATACGGTTTTTTCCACTTTATTTGATGTCTGTTTCTGATCCATGTGATGGCAGCTAATATACATTGATTAAAAACCTATGATTTCGGCACGTTGCTTTTCCTTACCAAGTTCAGTTTTCCAAGAGCACTGCCAACCCCCTTGTTTCCACCCCATTTAACAATTTTGATCGTTGACCCGATTCAATAGCGATCCTCGGTACACATTCCTCTATAATTTCCAATTGTCCCCCCCATCCCTCCCTCCCCGCCCATCCGAACAGATATCTTCAATTGTTTAACAAACCTGTTGTACCTGACCTGGGTATTTTTGCTCGTTGATCCTAGCGTGCCCAACCTTACAGACAACAGTTGAGTTTCTGTATCTGTTCTTAATGTAAAATGCGCAGCATGCACAGGGTTAAAGACAAAACAATCCCGTGAGCTATTCTTAAGTACTGCCGCTAATAAGGAACCAGGGGAGATATCCCCACACCGATATATATTAGGGCATGCTGTGATTTCGAAAATCCAGAGAGCAGTGAAAATATAGATAACGGGATGCCAACTCAATGTTTTTTTTTATATCAAACCACTGTGCTATTTTGTATTGCACTTTAACAGTTGTGGGCAGTGAATGGAATTCTAGATTTGAAGCTTTCGTGACTGCAAGGATCCATACTCTTTGGTTCTATTCGGTAAAGTCACGTAGGTAAAATTTTTTTTTCACTCCAGCGCAGTCTTCGAGACAGTCTGGTCCCTTCACCTGATGAAGGCCGCTTGTGTTGTGGCCGAAACGTGATTTTTGTTTTATTTTTTACCTACGTGACTTTACCGAATAGAATCAAAGAGTAGTGAATGGAATGTTCACAGTAAGTGATCGAATGCCAGCAGTTGTAAAGTAGAGAAGATAATGCGTGTACCACTCGTCGACAGGATTTTGAGGATGCTGTCACGGCAACTTCCAAGTTTGTGGTGGGCACTGGCATTGACCAGTAGAGGGGGTGCCAGGCAATCTCCACGTGGTCGGCCATAAGGTGCCATCTGGCTCATGGCAAGCCTGGTTTTTCACTTGTGGAGTGTTTGCAGGTCGGCCTTACGCTTGTGGATGACCTTTCTCAGAGAAGCTGCCAGACCGTTGGGAAAAGAATGTAGACGAGGCCAAGGCTTCGGATTATTTTTTTATACGAGTAAACGTTTTTATTTTTACCAGGTAGTATGGTCTCGTTTTCAGAAGCGACCTAACCACAAATGATGGCTCAACTAAGTGGCTTATCACGTGGGAATGTATAGTAGGCAAATACTGCAAGTGCATGTATTTGGGATGATGTGGTGCAAAGGTTAAGCAGACTGGACTTGCGATCCCGAGGTCGCCCGGTTCGACCTGATCTCACGACCCGATCTCACGGCCCAACAGTTGAAACACTGGGCATATTTATTTGGATCCTGTTCGCCTCCGCCCACCCAGCACAGGGGCCGGCAACCGGCGGCTCTTTAAGGACTGCTTCGTGTCGTTATTTATTAAGGACCACCGTCTCGTATTCACATTGCAGCTCTTGAAATATTTAGTTTCATCGAATTTGTAAAAAAAAAATTACTTATTTTGGTTGACGACCCCTGAACCAGCAGTTTAAATGGGTCCAAAACAGTTGCTCAGCAGGTCGTGTGCGGTGGGGGCAGTGTGGGTACTCAACACCGCTTTCCAGGATGTCTGACCAGTTTGGAAGAGTAGGCCGCATACCTTGTAGAGCTCAATTTAGTGGAGGCCGTGCTTCCAGCAGCAGCACAGGCAAACATTTTCAGGACTGTACCTTGTAACTTTTTTATCAAGCTGTATTGGTTCACTTCACTCCTGCAGCCACTAGGGACGCTATATTGACGAAAGTGTTTATAAATAACATTCTTTAATCGCATACCGATCCCGAACAATTATATAATTCATCAAATCGCGAGGGGAGTGAATAATTATATACAAACCACGGAACCGTTATGAATCTTTACATAGGGCACACTCGAAATCATGTTCTGCAGCAAAAAGAAAAACGCTCAACTACCACAATGGTATTCTTAGCTCTTTCGGTAAAGTCACGTTGAAGGGAAGCAATAAAATAATATATTTATATATTTTATTGTTTCCCTTCAACGTGACTTTACCGAAGCAATAAAATAATATATTTATATATTTTATTGCTTCCCTTCAACGTGACTTTACCGAAAGAGCTAATAATATGAATTACTGCAGTCACGAAAGCTTTAAATCAAAATTTACCACAATGGTTTTTGGTTTCATATTTTGATATAAGATGAAATACATTTTAAAACATGTGAAGCCAAACAGGGTTTTCCGAAGGCCACGATTTATGTAAACGGCAGCAGCACAATTTCAAGTGGAGGTTAAAGATGATCGTTGATAAAAAAAAATTAAGCATGGAGCCTTAAGGATGAAGAACTTATAATAGGCTGTGTTTGGCATACACAAAGGTGGTTGAACATAACATTTTATCACCCAGGAAAGCATTGGAATCTCAAGATAATTTCTCAAAGGGTTCTCAATACATTTTTGCGGTAGCACACGCTGTTGCCATGCATTTTCACATTGCGTAACTTGCGGGTAATTTAAAAAAATTTGACCACGTTGCCAGCACATATGGCCTGCTGATTATTGAATAACATTATGGGATCTTTTAAAGTCCACCGAGTACGTGTCAGACGGCGTGTATTTTTACAGTTAATAAAAACCCGCTGTATGAACCAGGGCGGCCATCGGGCCCGAAATTGCAAACTTCTGCAACAAACGGTAAATGCACAACTGCTTACCCATGGCGCCGCCCTGCCATGCCCCTACATTTACCTTGTTAAAAAAAACGCTTCTGCAGATTTCAAGGCATTAAGGAGAGGTGTAAAATGTCTCCGCTGCGACGGCACCTGTCGCAGGGCAAGCCTCAAGTTGGTTGAAAGAACGCCAATGAACACGGGTCTTGGCTCTGCAGTATAGTCCAACCACGGGGCACCGGTTCAGCATCCCCCCCCACCCCGCCCCCAGAGGCCAGAGGAGCACTGCATCATTTATTATAGCCTGGCAGGGAGAGGAACTGGCCGTCCTTGGCTTCGAAGAACGTGTACGAGAGCGTGATGGTGTTCACGTTGGCCATGCGCGGGTCTTCGGCGAACTCTGGGTCGATGTAGAAGAACACGGGCATGTCCACCTCCTCGTGCGGGTTCAGGCGCTGCTCCTCGAAGCAGAAGCACTGCGGCACATGAAGAGGGACGCGTGCGATGCGGCGGGGGAACCCGTTCCCAAAGCTTGAACACGTACTGCTCGAGCATTCATTGAGCCCTTTGACATTCTGAGACGTCTGCAAGTTGCAGGGGCGGGTCGCTTTCACCTCTGAATCTCGGAACGTGCAAGCGGTTCGGCGTTAATTTAATTTAGAGAGGCATAGTTGCCGTTGTTTACTCACCGCAGAGAACTATAGCGACACGACCGCACTATGATAGATGGCGCCAAACTGCACACGAATTTGCAAATATCAACCATTACCTGAGAGGAAGTAGACGGCTCAAGTGGTAATTAATTGGCCTCACATTCAAACGGCAAAAGTCAAAATCCCAGTCATCACATTGATGAAAGGTCAACACAGCAGCCGTCTGACGATTTTTCCCTTTGCAATTCAAGGAATTGTCATTAGTTTGGACCACTACGTGATACAATAATACATTTTTGCTTTAACATTGTGGTGCATAGCGGTGCTCGATTGGCACTACCAAGAACCAAAGTTCAAGGCCAGATTTCGGCCACTCCGTGATTATTTGGGGATCTCAAATTTAGTGAGTTGATGATCTCGGTTGACTACGACAGCCATAATATAAGAATCGTTTTTTGTCCTTAATTTTGATCAATTCCAGCTCAGAGAATGTTAAATACATTCGGACTATCTGGCAAACACTACAGTGTAAACAATAAGGTCATTTGCAGGGTTTGTCTTAAGTCCAAATTCCTGGAAAAAACTTCTGTTCTCAAATATTTGGGCTCCACTGCTCTGTGAGATTTTTCATTGTCTCCTGCCACGCTGCCGATAGCACAATTGGAATTCGTTTGGAGAAAAAGCCCCAACTATTTTTCATATTTGGGAAACAAAACCTCTGTTGAGACCCAACTACATTTAAATGACAACACTATGGTTGATGCAGCACACCTCTAGTGGCTGCAAAGGGACACATGCCCATGACTTAAAACATAAACAAGTAAAACATTAGTAATAGGTTTTTACCCTTTTATCTGGCACAAAAACTAACACCTTTATACAAGGGATCATGTTTGCAATAACCACAACACAAGTAGTCAAAATGCAAACAAAAAAGACAACTCTGATAATATGCACTGTCCTTGAATTTGATTGGTCCACACCCGAGATGGCTTTTCTTAGAGCCCAGTCTCCACTGGTGTTGGACCAGAAGACGCCAAAAGGCATACAACTCAAAAACAGCGCACCATCAGAGTATTGAGAGCTCGGGGTAAGCACTTACATTATTACTATATCTTGTTACTGCCAAATGAGGTCTCATAAAGTAAAACATTCCCACGTGCGATGCACATATGAGCGCAAACAACGACTTTAACCTATGAATCGATGCATTACCACTTGCCAATTCAACGGAGGTTGGAGTGATGGCACCAGAGCAGTGCGATAGTCGCACAGTGGCTCGTGACTTCCAACTGGCACGTACACCACCCTACGCTGAATAAGGAAAAAACAGGCGATACGACTTCATCATTGAGCTGTGTTAAACGAGCTTACCTGAATCTTGTTGAAGTACTGGCCCGCTTCAAAGGGCACTACATTGTACGTAGAGATGCCGACGACCGGCTTCGAGGAAGGATTTTTGGCGCGGTAAAACGCCAGTGCCGTCTCACCGGGCACGACCTGCCAGGATGGTGCACAAAGTGGGTTCATCCACACGCGGGCGTCACGCGCTGGTGCCTGGTCAAGCGTGCGCCGGCGCTATCGTTTGTGAAATTGGTGACGAAAATCTTCCTCAAAGGTGGTGGGGGGGGGGGTTTGTGTTTTAGTCAACAATGACCAAGTGGACTAAAACCATCAAACGAAAATGACTTCGCTACCCACCAGACCAAAACCACGACGACTATGACAACATACAAAGATAATTTAGTCACGTTATTCGAGATTGCAATGCACTGGGAAAAACCAAACATGGTAATTATCTGCATCCGTATACAAAACCAGATTGACGGAGTTTATTAATTGGCTGACCTGATGACTTTGGCGAAGTGTACAAATTGTGCGCCCCTCAAACCAACATTTAGTAACTAAGAGTGGAATTAACGTTCTGCTTTCATCAACTCGACAAATAAAATTATAATAAGTAGACAAAGGCTTGACTGGAAACTCCATGTGTCACTGACGAAAGACTACGACCATAACAGAAAAAAACGCCAACGACGATTTAGAAAACGCAGGGCGTGCACCCCGTCACTCACGTTCACTTCGCTCTGCTGCGGCCGGAAGTTCCACAGGAGGCCTGCGTGCACGTCGGCGTTGAAGATGACGCGGATGGCGCGCTCACGCACAGGACGCATCGTCGCCACGCCCTCCGTGCCATGGCCGGCCACCGCCTGACCACCCAGCCCTGTGGCCTGCATGCGCATGCGAGGCCCAGATGGCCCAGCGCAGTCGCCAACGCAATTTTAACATCGCCGATTGAGATCTGGTGATGTCCGTGTGTGACCGGATGCTGCCGTGATAGCACTGGACTTGCAAAACAGACGTCGCCGGTTTGCCCTCCCGACGCAGCAGTTGAAACAATGGTTAAAGTTTCTTAAATCCCCTCCCGCCCCCTCCACCAATGCGCCTCTGTCCATCCAGCAGTATAAATGGGTTCACCACGGTGAGTTGATCGGCAGGTTGCGTATGGTGGGGTAAAGTCTGGATACTTCCACCTTTTCGAAGACATCCGATAAGTGTGGTAAAGTAGGTCAGAGGGAGGTCCTTCCACCTAGCGTTGTACGAGCAAGAAATTGCAGGGCTGCAGTTTTGCCTAAATGGACTTCAAAACGAAACAACAATCTGTAAAGTGTGGCTATTTCTACATTCGACATAAGCCGGGCAGTGGTACTGCACGCCTGTCATTCACCACTGGAGATGAGACCTAGTGGATCACAAATGTGAAACTCCCTTCCCCTGGGCATCGGGGGTGCCATGCCATGGCTTGTCAGGAGATAGCGGTACACCAAATTGTGGACTCCCATGTTCCATATTGATTGGATAGTGTTCCCCTCATTATGCGTGGGCTTTTTCCAGGTGCTCCGATTTCCTCCCACATGTAAACACTCATTAATTGGCCGATAACACCTGCGTATATATATAGAGGCCTGCAGAGCTTGGGAACTTGGTGGTGGGCCCCCCCCCTACCGCATGGCTGCCTTTTCCGATTGTCTTTGGTTCCTCGCACCTCCGAGTTCTCGCTCTTCAAGAGCGAGGAAATACTGTGCGGCGTTACAAGTTGAAATTATAAAAAATTATCATTCCATAATCAAAGTGCGACAAACAACAGCACTCGAGGATGAGGTGGGCAGCGGGGCAGCGATGGTGGCAGTGTGGCGTGGCTCGCAGTGCTAAACTAAACTTTTTATTTTACCAGGTAAAGCCCACCGAGTTTCAGAAGCAACCTGGCCACAAGTGATAGTTTAAGGGGCTTATGTGGAAATCTATAGCAGCCAAATGCTCTAAACGCACGATTCGAAATGTGGAGGGAATGTGGAGTGCGACTGTGGGGAGGAGGAAGAGGCTGCACCTGGCAGTAGAGGCGGTAGAGCGGCACCGCAGCGTAGGACAGCCCCAGCATCCCCGTGACGGTGGCGATGATGTAGGCGAGCGAGGTGCGATTCTTGCGTGTGTACGGACCGCTTCCAGGCCCAAAGTTACCTGCCAACGACCACTTCACTTAGGAACGATTATAATACAAAACAAGCTGGATATAAGAAACCTTATATAAGCAACGTTTCTGATTTATGCAATACCGTTTACAACTGTGCAATAGGTGTCATGTGATGAGGCTAAGGAATCTAACCACAGAACTCTAGCGGCCATCAGAGAATGGCTACGGAAATCACGTAACTAATTTTGAAATAACTTTCGATCGCCATATGTTACATTCCCTACAGTGTTCAATGAATGTTAATCAATCGAAACTTTTCATTCTCAATTTTACAATAAACCAAATAGATGTATTATTATGGATATTTTGGTCTATGATTTGTGACCGGGCTAACGCCATTAACTCGCTACACTTGAGATCAGTTAAAATTATTGGTGGCTTCCTCAAATTTGAACCCAGAATATATGTTAGGGCTGTCCCAGTGACCTCACACTGAGCTACCCACTCTCCCCAACCATCACTTTAGCCACCTGTGCTCTCAAAACACACACTGGCCACTACCGGCACGCCGAGTTAAAGCCTGCGGAGTGAATTATATATTATTACTCTGTGCTCGGGTTGAGCCCCTCGTGACGAGGGGAGCGCGCAGAGTGGCGCAGCGCAAGCACGAGGGCCCCAGGGCCCGCGTCCCCGCCCGTGGTGCCCACGCGACGGAAGCTCCCGCCGGCACCCAGGCCGCGCATCGCCACGCCGTCACCTGCAGCATCGCGACACGAGCGGCCCCAACTGCACACGACACGCGCGTGACGGCGTGAAGAGGGCAAGCTCTGAACCCCCTCCTCCTACCACGCGTGCCGCCAAACAAGGGAAAGATCTGGCACGGGTATGCCATTATAACAACGCAAGTGAGACTGGTGGAGCACCTCCGATTAGCTTCACGCACCTCCGATGAAGCGCGGTTGGCTACGTACGGTGCGAGAGAAGTTCAACACACGTGTAGCTACCAAAATGGCCATGTTTTCACAGGGATTTTGGATTGGCTAAATCTCGACTCATATAGTGCCACCCTCTTTCCCAGAGGGTTTGGTGGTGTGTCAGCCACTTTCCCTGTTATTGTATCCTTTATTTAACCTAAGACAAAACCCATTGAGACCCATGAAACGTTGCCTCTTTTGCAAGCGGCGATCTAAATGACATCAAAAACAATCAGAGTGCGTTTATAAAAAAAGCAATGAAATGTAACTCGGAGAGACTACATTTGACAATAAATTATCCTTGTGCTCCATCAGTCTCACTGCGTTGTTAATCTGCATCCCTACCCGTTCACTTACATCATCTGTCCACTGCCTTCAAAGTCAACCTCGTGAGCTCTGGCCAGTTGTAATATCCGGGTCTTCTGGCCTTTTTACAATCTCCAGATTTCCCGATTGGATGTCTATAAAATCGTAGTTTCTGTTTTGTATGAGGTCACAGACTTCATATTTTCGCACCTGATGTTCCTAAACACCCACTTCACCTGTTGAGTGTTCTGGCCACTTTAAAGGACAATTGGTTGGTTAGCCGCGGCCCTCTTTTTCGCGACAGTTGTAGGTTACGCGAAAACTCTTATTATCCGTAGATCTATTCGTCCAATTATCCGTGACTTTCCCAACAAGTCTTTGCGGAATGGAATCTTATTGCCTGCAGTATTTTTTGCGCGGACGAGAGGAATCGCGCGGCAAATTCATCCGATCATCCGCGGCTATCGGCCGTATTACCCCCGCGGATAGCAACATCGCAGATAGTCCCCCACGGATGATAGAATCCGCGATATGGGTCGCCACGCATGACCGCGGATAGGAGTTCTCCTGAAATCCACCAAAAGTGGGACCTCAAATTTACACGGAGCCATGTCAAAAGTTAATCGCCGCGCTTTAACGATACAATGGATGGCTACAACTGAAGTTCCGAATGTGAACAAAGATTTGTGACTATCTTCGTTTCTTCCAACATCATTTTCCCGAAAACGTCTGATCACATTGTCGTGAATAACTTTGGCCGAAGCGAATCTCACACGTCACACGGCCCTATTAAAACACGAGTCGACAATACTACACTAATTAACATCACGTCACGTTGCACGGCTCTATTTTGACATGAAACCATAGCAGTAGAACTGCTTTTTGTGTTTAGTTTTGTTGTCCTTACACCGCGCCTCCGATTAGCACGGTTAGCTACGTACGGTGCGAAAGAAGTTCCACATATATACACGTACATAGTCCACTATTTACCATTACATCTCGCTATGTAACATTATACTACACGATTTAACATTAAACTACACTTTGACACATCACCACGCTATTTAACATTACACTACACTATTTAACACTAAACTACACTTAAACATTACACTCCACTCTTCAACGTTACATCACGCCAAATGCGGCCTTACACCACAGCGTTACCACCACCCCACCACGCTATTTAACATTACACTACACTATTTAACATTACACTACACTATTTAACACTAAACTACACTATTTAACACTAAACTACACTTAAACATTACACTCCACTCTTCAACGTTACATCACGCCAAATGCGGCCTTACACCACAGCGTTATCACCACCCCACCACGCTATTTAACATTACACTACACTATTTAACATTACACTATACTATTTAACACTAAACTACACTTTAACCAACACATTAGCGGTGTTATTTAAACACACACACACAACCCCTCCTCACGCCGTGGGGAAAGAGGGTTATTTGACCATACTTCACCACGCTGGTCAACGCCGCTTCTACAAAGTTTAAAATAACATTTAAACCCCCCCCACCCCAACAACCTGAGAACTCGCATACGAACAACTTAAAGACGCCTAGGAACAGCGATGCTACCGTGCGATAACCATCGACGTGAACGCGGAATTAAAAACTCTCAATTTACTCTCAGTACCTTGCACGACACTGTACGGACGCCACTGTACCCCTCAAAGCGAAACCGTCCGAGGTTACCCGTAAAAGGCGGGTGGAAGCGTCAATAATTAACTCGTTAATTGTTAACTCGTTAATTATTGACGCACCAGGCGTAGAGGAAAGGATTATGAGACGTCTTGAAGGAGAGAGATTTAGTGAGGAAAGCTGAGGCGAGTGATCGCCGCCCGCCCGACCGAGCGACCGACCTTAACGACGCCAGGAGCTCACGAGTTTGCGGCCGCGGTGTTAGAACAGAGGGGCGTTTTTAAAAAAATATATTTAAAGCTTTCGTTAATGCAGGGATTCATATTTCATTGGTTCTTTAGGTAAAGTCGCGTAAATATATTTTAATGATTTAAAATTAACAAGAAATATTTTTTAAATAATAAGAATATTTTTTTATTATTATTTTGTTTCCCTTTTCTACGTGACTTTACCGAAAGAACCAAGAATATAGAGGGAGAATTTTGTTGTTTTATATTTTAAAATTTTTAAATTATTTTATTGTTTCCCCTTCTACGTTACTTTACCGAAAGAACCAAGCCTATAATATAGAGGGGGTTTTGTATTATTACCGCTCGGGCCAGAGGGAAAATCTCCGTTATAGCACCGCGGGCTGTTGTTTTACCTTTGGGTCAGAGGGAAAACCTCCGTTATAGCACTGCAGGCTGTTGTTTTAGCTTTGGGTCAGAGCGAAAACCTCCGTTCTTGCACAACAGATGTTTAACCTATGGAGTCAGAGGAAAAAACTCTGTTCTAGCACCACAGATGTTCAACCAATGGGGTAGATGGAAAACCTCCGTTCTAGCACTGCAGTTGTCATTTTGGCTTTTGAGCCAGAGGGAAAACCTCTGTTCTAACACTACAGATGTTATCTTGCCTCCAGGGCCAGAGGAAAAACCTCCGTTCTAGTACCGCACCGGGAAGACTCCTTCACAAGTCTGGCAAACTCGCCTGATGAAGCTGGATTCAATCACCAGCGAAACGTCGTGCTAAAATTGTACATATTGTGGGTTTACTCTCCAACGCACAACCGGTGTGCTGAAGTAGTACCGAATCGGCACGTTTTGTTGACGGGACAAATTTGACTAAATTGGCCGTGTCGGGTGGTGGCGGGCTTAACGACACATTTGTATTCTTTGGGTAAAGTCACGTTGATAGGTTCAGATTAATAACAAAAATAAACAAAAACCACGACGTTTTGATCGCAACGCAAGCGATTGTCAGCAGGAGTAAAAAAAATAACCTATCTACGTGACTTTACAGAAAGACCCAAAGAATATGAATTCCTGCAGTCACGAAAGCTTTAAGTGAAGATTTGACACATTTATATTGACGCGATCTAACATCGCCAAAAAAACCCTTTATCATGGATGATATTGGTCGCGAAAGCCTACGTGGCAAACGTGCCCAACGACATAGTATTGAAATAAATCAATATATAACAGGCGATGTTTCGGGTAATGACATTCATTGCACGTAATAAAGAAGGGTTGTTGCCTGAAACGTCGTCTAAAAAAACAATGTTTAATGAAAGCATCATATCGGAAATTAGTACTTGTACATCGATGTTCCAAAGTATTTGTGTTTTTTTTGCTTGCCCATCCCTATCTGGGGGAAGTTTTTTTTTTCGTTACAAATGTTGCCGTGCCCACTTGTATCAATGTTGAACTTCTTTCGCACCGTACGCAGCACAACCGTGCCAATCCGAAAAGTGCCTCACACTAATCACCTCCGACGGGAATTCGAGTGCCTCGGCTGCCCGACCTCTCCCACGTGAAATAAATAAGTAATATTTTTTTATTTAAAAAAAAAACCCTATATTTAAACCACGCTTTAATTAAATGCACCGTACTCGTAATGGAAGAACTCCACGACTCCAGGAGGCGGACCCGAAGCTTGCCACAAGGTAAGGGGAATTACAGCCAACGTCAGTTGACCGTGGACAATTATACCCAAGCCGAAGCGTAACATATAAAAAATAATGTCTAAAAAATATATTTGTTTTATGATAGAATATAGTATTGTCATCAGTTATGACATAAGTATACCAAGTTTGCAGTCGATACCACATTGGGAAGTGGGTTACAATTGAGTTACAAGATTTGAGGATACAACAACAGACAGAGTGAGTTAATAAAAAGCGTGTAATAATAATAAAAAAAACGTGTAGTAATAATTAAGAGACACTCGTTTCATTGTCGGCGGTGTTGTTAATACGTCGCAGGATAAACAAGGAACCGCCGTTCCTCGTGGCGCCTCCGAATCACCGCGCCTCTCTCTCTTCCTTCTTCTTCTTCTTGAGAGAGAGAGAGTTGAGATGACTCTCAAGAGAGAGTTGAGATGATTCGAGAGAGAGAGTTGAGATGATTCTCGAGAGAGAGTTTAGATTATTCTCGAGAGAGAGTTGAGATGATTCTCGAGAGAGAGTTGAGATGATTCTCGAGAGAGAGAGTTGAGATGATTCTCGAGAGAGTTTAGATGATTCTCTCGAGAGAGAGAGTTGAGATGATTCTCGAGAGAGAGAGTTGAGATGATTCTCGAGAGAAAGTTGAGATGATTCTCGAGAGAGAGTTGAGATGATTCTCGAGAGAGAGAGAGTTGAGATGATTCTCGAGAGAGAGTTGAGATGATTCTCGAGAGAGAGAGAGAGTTGCGATGATTCTCGAGAGAGAGTTGAGATGATTCTCGAGAGAAAGTTGAGATGATTCTAGAGAGAGAGTTGAGATGATTCTCGAGAGAGAGTTGAGATGATTCTCGAGAGAGAGTTTAGATGATTCTCTCGAGAGAGAGAGTTGAGATGATTCTCGAGAGAGAGAGAGTTGAGATGATTCTCGAGAGAAAGTTGAGATGATTCTCGAGAGAGAGTTGAGATGATTCTCTCTCTCGAGAGAGTTGCGATGATTCTCGAGAGAGTTGAGATGATTCTCGAGAGAAAGTTGAGATGATTCTAGAGAGAGAGTTGAGATGATTCTCGAGAGAGAGAGTTGAGATGATTCTCGAGAGAGAGAGTTGAGATGATTCTCGAGAGAGAGTTGAGATGATTCTCGAGAGAGAGTTGAGATGATTCTCGAGAGAGAGTTTAGATTATTCGAGAGAGAGAGTTGAGATGATTCTCGAGAGAGAGTTGAGATGATTCTTATTGAACACACGGCACTAATTCTAGATTTGAAGCTTTCGTGACTGCAAGGATTCATACTCTTTGTTTTTTTTCGGTAAAGTCACGTAGGTATAAATAAAATAAATGAAAACTAAATTTAAATCACAGCCACCTCTGAGACACACTTTAAGCGTTTGTGCTTTCGCTACGTTATCCCCACCTGAATAAGGACGCTTGTGTTGCGCCCGAAACGTCGTGATTTAATTTAGTTTTCATTTTTTTTCACCTACGTGACTTTACCGAAAAAAAACAAAGAGTACACGGCACTAACTTTATAACGTGACGCTGCAGCACGATACTAGTTCGCATTACACCACGCCGCGAGGCAGCGTTTAAACGTTCCAAGCACGGTAGTAAGTAGGAACTGCTGTTTTGCGTGTTATTGTTAGCTAAGTTGCCCTTCTCACGCGCCTCCGACGAGCGGTGCGAAAGAAGTTCAACACACATGCATACAATTGACAATTAAGTACGAGTTGAGCGAATGCTGCAATCGCATTTGTTGTTGTTGTTGTTGGACAACTCGCCACCCCCGGGGTCCTTTTGGATGATGTCGATATTCCTGCGCTGTCATCGTGAAGCGGCAAAAATATTTTCAATGTCGTGCCCGCTGCTGAGATGATCCTCGAGAGAGAGTTGAGATGATTCTCGAGAGAGAGTTGAGATGATTCTCGAGAGAGAGAGTTGAGATGATTCTCGAGAGAAAGTTGAGATGATTCTCGAGAGAGAGTTGAGATGATTCTCGAGAGAGGGAGTTGAGATGATTCTCGAGAGAGAGAGAGTTGAGATGATTCTCGAGAGAGAGAGTTGAGATGATTCGAGAGAGAGAGTTGTGATGATTCTCGAGAGAGAGTTGAGATGATTCGAGAGAGAGAGTTGAGATGATTCGAGAGAGAGAGTTGTGATGATTCTCGAGAGAGAGTTCAGATGATTCTCGAGAGAGAGAGAGAGAGAGAGTTGAGATGATTCTCGAGAGAGAGAGAGTTGAGATGATTCTCGAGAGAGGGAGTTGAGATGATTCTCGAGAGAGAGAGAGTTGAGATGATTCTCGAGAGAGAGTTGAGATGATTCTCGAGAGAGAGTTGAGATGATTCTCGAGAGAGAGAGAGAGAGAGAGAGTTGAGATGATTCTCGAGAGAGAGAGAGAGAGTTGAGATGATTCTCGAGAGAGGGAATTGAGATGATTCTCGAGAGAGAGAGTTGAGATGATTCTCGAGAGAGAGTTGAGATGATTCTCGAGAGAGAGTTGAGATGATTCTCGAGAGAGAGTTGAAATGATTCGAGAGAGAGTTGAGATGATTCGAGAGAGAGAGTTGTGATGATTCTCGAGAGAGAGAGTTGAGATGATTCTCGAGAGAGTTGAGATGATTCTCGGGAGAGAGAGTTGAGATGATTCTCGAGAGAGAGTTGAGATTATTCTCGAGAAAGAGTTGAGATGATTCTCGAGAGAGAGTTGAGATGATTCTCGAGAGAGGGAGTTGAGATGATTCTCGAGAGAGAGTGGAGATGATTTAGAATCGAACACACGGCACTAATTCTAGATTTGAAGCTTTCGTGACTGCAAGGGTTCATACTCTTTGGTTTTTTCGGTAAAGTCACGTAGGTATAAATAAAATAAATGAAAACTAAATTTAAATCACAGCCACCTCTGAGACACACTTTAAGCGTTTGTGCTTTCGCTACGTTATCCCCACCTGAAGAAGGACGCTTGTGTTGCGCCCGAAACGTCGTGATTTAATTTAGCTTTCATTTTTTTTCACCTACGTGACATTACCGAAAAAAAAACAAAGAGTACACGGCACTAACTTTATAACGTGACGCTGCAGCACGATACTAGTTCGCGTTACACCACGCCGCGAGGCAGCGTTTAAACGTTGCAAGCACGGTAGTAAGTAGGAACTGCTGTTTTACGTGTTATTGTTAGCTAAGTTGCCCTTCTCACGCGCCTCCGACGAGCGGTGCGAAAGAAGTTCGACACACATGCATACAATTGACACTGAATTAAGTACGAGTTGAGCGAATGCTGCAATCGCATTTGTTGTT